CGAGATGGTATACGAACTTTATTGATGGTAACTTTATTGGTTTATAGTACTTTCTGCCTGGGCAGCGAGTATTAATCATAAACTGTGCTCTGGGTTTACAGTTAATTTTCACTCGATTTTTCCTCCACTTGACTTCAAAAGACACAAAACACACGTAATAACACGAATCAAAGTGCATCATCTTCCAAAACATAGGGTATTTGACAAATGTTGACACAAAATTATAACCTATAATTTGGCAAGACTTTGACGAGCGTCAAAAATCTAAAGGCGAGTTCATACGCATCGACGCCGGCGTCCGTTTGTCGTTCAACGTTCCGTCAAACCAATAAAATTGAAATACGATCTGTCATTTTTGAAATAAACCAATAAAACTGGTTAAAAACAACAAGAGACGACGCATGACGGATTTATATTTAAACTAATCCATAGTTAACTTAAAAGTTACTAGAAACTTTTTTTAGTAAAATAAATAGATTGGTATGGGACGTCATCTGCTTTTTTCTGTGATCGTCTGTCGAAATCTTACCTGAGAAAAAAAAAACAGAGTATATATAGGATTTGTGGTAACCCCATTTATACAAATTAGACAGCTGCAGTTATGTACGCGTGTTGTTAATCACTACTATAACAATTCGGTCTTGTTAGTGCTGCCAGTATTACATTAAAAACTTTTAGTGTTAATATAGTAACAGTTGTATCTTATATAAATCTTTGTAAGTTCTAGTAACGGAAATTACTCTTATAATATTTAATTTAAAGTAATTATTACCAGGTAGCAACTGTCAAATTGAAGTTTGACTTCATGTAATGTCATTTTGACAGAACATAGTTGATAGATGTATATGTATTCTTAAGATATAATTGGATATTATAAATAGATTTTATTTGTCCTTTGCGTTTTTTTGCTTCTGATGACGAGCGGAGATATGTCTCCTGACACGTTAGGCATTTTTGGTCACTCCAAAAAATCTTTATGGGTATTTCGCCACTACAAGAAAATCTACAAAATAAAATAGTTATTTTTTGTAAACACTAATGCGTTAATCCCAAACGGAAACTACTTGTCAGAAGTTAGGTTTACATATATACAAATTTGCCTAACGAACAAAAAAATGCTTAACGTTTCGGAAAGTTTATTTCTTTCCGTCGTCGGAAGCCAAAAAAAAAATACAAAGGATAAAGAAAAAAAACTATTTAAAATATTTAAATTCAACTATTCGAGAACACTTCAGTTTTCTAAAAAAGATACGTCTACAAAAACCGTTGACGTTCTGTTAAAATTACATTATATCCAGTTAAACTTCAAAATTAACAATTACTACCTGAGATAACAATTACTTAATAAGGTAAAACCAAAAAGCCCCAAACTTTCTGTATGATTATTTTTAATTTTTACGTACGTATGTTATGTTTGTTTATGTATGGTTCACACTTTCTGTATGGTTATTTTCAAATTTTACGTATGTTATGTTTATTTATGTTATGTTCTTTAAAATCAAAGAAGCGATTGCCATACATTACTAACATCTACAGATGCATGAGCAATACATTTATTTTTATTAGATTGTATTAAAAAAGCCTCTTTTATTTTTCTTTTAGAGGCTATCGCTTCTTTCATTATAATTTTGGCGTTATTAAAATTATTTTGTGCCCTGTGTCCCATGAATGCTGACAAATCTTAGATTTGTGAAAATCTCTCTTTCTTAAATAATCTTTATGTTCTTTAATTCGAACATTTTAGGGTCTAGATGTTTCAACAATGTAAAACTAACTTATAACTTAAGAATACATATACATCTATCAACTACGTTCTGTTAAAATAACATTACATAAAGTTATTTTTTGTCGGTTAGGCAAATTTGTTTTACTCAAAGGTTTTAGTTTGGTTTGGTTTTTCCATTTGAATTCAGCGCCGTGATGTTTATAAAAAGCAACCTTTTTTATTTTGTAGGTAGAGATGAAAAATCCAGAATATTTTTCAAGAAACAGAAGTTTTAAGTAATAATTATGTTTTTCGAATTTTAATACAGGCATTTTGGGCGTTTGATATATGTTTCTGCATGTTTACATTTCAGAACAAATAATTAAAATACCACGAGATTAATCACCGTCAATTAAAAAACGCACAAATTAAATCTTTATAAATACACGCGTCTGTCATATCAAGAGACCGACAATAATTTTATTGTAATGACTCGATTTGCATATCAAATGAATCCACAGACCCCCCTGGGCCGTTAAATAGAAGAAAAAACATGGAAGAATGCGTCGCGCGAGATAATTTGTCTCGGCATGTGCGTCTGTAATTTCTCTTGTAAAAACATGGATACAGCGGCATAATTGTGCTGTCCCTATTAGACGCGACTACTATTAAATATTTATGTTTGAGATTGAAATTAACAACATTATCTGTCTTTTCCTTATCTTATTATAGGGAATATTTCACTCATGTACAAAAAATCCCATATAAAGCGGGTAATTTTCAGTGAAAATTGCCCGCTAAAATCGAAAATTACCCGGCGAAAATTTCCCGCAGAATGTCTAAGTGACAATGACACATTTGTAACTTAGACGTAAATTATTTTTATAGTAGGTATTCTAAAAATTTCTCGATTTGGAAACGATTCTTTAAGGGCAATTGAAAAAAAGTTGCCGAAAGTAAGCCGAAAAACACTATAATTAATCACCAGTATGTATGGGAACAGTTTATGAACATTATAAAAGATAGAAACTACATTTTGGATGCGAACTATCGGCTATTGGAACTCAATCTCAGCACTGGCCAATATTTTGACCGATTGGGCATTTAGTATGAAAAGGAAAAACGGCCAAGACTATAAGTATTTTACGGTAAAAACTATTTGGAATGTAACAGCCAAGCTATTAATGGAAAAATACCAAAAAGTATATAATATTAAATTTAATCCTTTTACTGACACCGAATTTAAAATCTCCCGAGAGGCAAAAAGTGCCAATAGGAAGGAATTGCAGATGGACCCTCTAAAAAGAAAACAAAACTGTAAGGCACTCAAATACGAATACGAAGAATTCAAATTGATGGTAAGAAATTGTAATGAAGAATGTCCCGATGGTTTGCAAAAAAATTGTATTATCCTACGAATTGGCATGGCGAGGAGAGGGAGGAAAATGTTTTGTTTCCTATTTAAATATGATATTAACAATATAGGACAACCCACCGGTCGCATTGAATACAACCCGATATTCGATAAAACCACTCAAGGAGGAGATAAACCTTGTTTAACTGTAAATCCTTCCTGGAAAATGGGAAAATGGTTCAAGAACGTTCCTGTTGGGAAAAATACTGTTGCTCAATGGGTGTATATCGAAGCGAAAAAATCAGGTTTGGCTACGGAGAAAGTAAAAATTTCTAATTATTCGCTAGTTGCAACAGCTGTGTCGACACTAGCAAAGAAAGGAGTTGATGAGAACACAATGGTCAAAATAACTGGGCACGCAAACCCGAAGTCAGTTAAACCTTACCTTCAACTCGATGATAAACATTATGTAAATATAGTAGAAAAAATGAGAGACAATGAAACTGCTAGAAGTTCTAATAATAATAGACAGTTAAAGCACGGCCAAAGACGTAGCCGTAAACGTATCGTTTGACATGTACGCTTGCGCAGTGAGAAATTCACTTGCGTTTACGGATACGTGATACGTATCTTTACGTGCCTTTACGTACGTACAAAACGCAAACGTATCGAGCCGAAGGAGTTTCGATTTTCACCCGAATGATGCCGAACGTACAAATTCACTAACAACTCGTTTCCACAACTGGCTAGTAATTAAGTTATTTCATAAATTTTGGGTCCAGTCACAGAACTGGGCCTATTTTATTACAATAAATTAGTATGAAAATATTAAGCATCATAATAAACTCATTTTGGAATCTATTTAATTAAATGCTAGTTCTTATAGCTAAAATCCATATGAGGATTCTAAAAGATGGAATCTAATAAATAATCATAAAGCTGTGTCTGTTTTCAAATATTTTTTTATTACGAAGAGCATTTTAAGTTGTAAGGACTACTTTCTGTAATAAAATAATTTCCGTTTATAATTTTCTTCATTTTTCGATATTACTTTTATAAATTTAATGTGGAATCAATGGAATAATAGATATCCATTTTCAATTTTAAAATTAAATAAATTGTTTCACAAAATAATTTAGAATTACCAATGTACCATTTGCGTTACGTACGTCAAAATACTTGCTTTAACTGTTGTTTACACGACAACGCAACGGCAGACGTAACGTAAGTTTCAGCGTTACGTGTCGAGAGATACGTATACGTATTGTGCCTTGCTTTAACTGTCTAATACTAATGTTTTTGTACCTACTCTAGGTTTTTTTAATTTCAATTCCAAAAAAAATTTTGCATCTTCAAGTACCGCAACGGAATTTAAACATAATAATTTTTATAACTGTGTTTTTCACTGCAATTCTTCATGTAATTTTTAATTTGTAATATTATAAGTTCTGTTTAATTTTATTGTTTCATTTTTAAACAGATTTTTTTAATATGTTCAAATAAATGTTTTTAAAAAATCTATGTATTTTCACTCGTTATCATGTTTTTTATTTGGGATATATTCTACCGAATTACACTCGTGCGTCAAAATTAACCTGATAATTTTTCATTTAAGCATGTTGTCAATAAAAAACAGCATTCGTTTATATTCATATTTTGGAAGAGTCCTCCTCCTTCGGAGTCTTATGGCAAAATATGAATATAAACTCATGCAGTTTTTAAACAACATGCTTTCATGAAAAATAATCGGTAATTGCCCAAGTGCATCAAACTTGGGTAATTACTTCCGATAATTTCTTTCTGTAAAGTATAAAACTCTTACAATAATTTTACTACTGCTAATAATAATGAAACTAATTTAAAAAGACAAATTTGGAAAAATCTCAAGTATATCTGCTCTTTATTTATACCGATTTTCTATATTTAATATTTTTGTTTCAGCTGCTAGGCCAGGAAATGTGTGCTACAGCAATGCTCACTGTCGTTTATGGACAGCAGACAGCCATTGTGATTTCCTCATTCCTAACTTGTTTGGAAGATGTTCCTGTAATTCACCATTTAAACAGGTATAACAGAAACTTCTTAACAAATTAATTCTCTGCGAAATGTGTTGTTATAAATTTTATTTACCTATAATCTTTAAGCACCTATATACAGGGGGCGCCTCTCAAACGCTGCGGTAGGTCCAAGGAGAACGACAGTTTGCATTGATATGACATTTTGTGAGCATATGTTTTTTTCAAAAGGTTAATTCAAAGCACTTTTTAGAAATATAGAGAGTTCTACAGGGTGTCCCCCAAAAAGTTACATATCAAAGTTGTATTTTTTGTTATGGAGCACCCTATATATTAATTGATTTTCGGATTCTGGGAGAAAAATAAAGGTGAGTTTTATAAGAGAAGTATATGACTCAAATCTAAAGTTTTTGACATATTTAACAGTTTCTATAAAAAGAAAAAAAAATTAAATTACAATAAAAGCTACCTAAATTGGAATTTACCCGGTATAGCCTAATATGTAGTTAAACTAACTATTGTACTTTATATCAAACTAAAACTTGATTCAAAAAGTTATACAAGGTGAGACAAAATTAATATTGAACATTGGTCGCCTTTAAAAGCATAGTCCAACTTTAAGAACTAGTTATCATTTTGTGTCAGTTAAAACAAAAAAAATTCTCAGAAATTTGCCGAAAATGCAAACTTATCCTACCTCAGAGAGAATTGATATGACTCTATTAGTTGGTGAATGTAATGTACATTCACCAATTAATAGAACACTTCAATGCTCCTGATGAGAGCCGCATCTTCGGTTTGAATTAGGTTGAATCTCTTTAGCAGGGTTTATAGGAACTGTGCTTTTGGCAAGAAATAATTTTATTGCTGTTCTTACAGTTTTGTGAAACTTGTTACTATTTTATTTACTTCTTAGAACGTTTAGAAGTACAAGTCCTTGTGCTGAAGAATTGCTCTTCGCAGCTCTTGAAGCGAATTCGGCAGGAATTCCTTTTTTGTTAGCTCATCATCAGTATATTCCTTTTGCGCCATTTTCCAATAAATACACACACAACTTACTACATCACAGTAAATACCAACAATAAACCAACTTTGATCTGAGTAGATCTTTATAATTTGATAAAATCTAGGATGGCTGTGATATGTCTGACGTTACTTCATCATAGCTGTCTAATTAGTCCAACTTTAACAACTTGTTATCATTTTGTGTTAATCAAAACACAAAAAAAATTCTCAGAAATTTGCCGAAAATGCAAACTTATCCTACATCACAAAGAATTGATATGATTCTATTAGTTGGTGAATGCAACGTGCATTCACTAATTAATAGTGTCATTACATTAAATTAGTTTTTTATGGGGATATATTAAAGACAGTGTTTACAAAACTCGACTAACTATTGTCGACAACATGTAAAAGACCCTTTTGAAAAGACAATCATTTTATGCACTTAACAGGATAGGAAGCATTTTGAGCATTTGATTTCATCTAGCCTAATGTTGTCACATAATTATAGGTTTATATCTAGTTTTAATTCTGGAATAGTTAAAATATGTTTTAAACGTGTATCTTTTTATTGCCGTTGAGTATTTTACTAATTTTTAATTTTCGTTAAATTAACAAAAGGTATATCTCCAAGATTTTTTCAAAAATAAAGATCTACTGACGCAAAATCAGAAAAATTAAAATATCTAGGAATATCGTTGTCTGAGGGGTAGGCAACCTTAATAATATTTTGAAGATATTTAAATTCCGCATTGAACACCAGAAAAATATACTGGGTGTTCTATTTAAAATAAAGGAGTAACTTGCTTTTAAAAGTGACTAATGTTCCATATTAATTTTGTCTCACCCTGTATAACTTTTCGGGTCAAATTTCAATTTTGTTTAACATAAGTGGTTACAGTAATTAAATATCAGGCTATACAAGGTCAACTAAAATTTAGGTAGCTGTTATCGAATTTTAAAATTTACTCTTCATTTTCATAAAATGTGAAATATGAAAAAAAAATCCTTAGATTTTTGGTATATGCTTCTTTAATAAAACACACCTTTATTTTTTTCCTAGAATCCGAAAATCAATTAATATATAGGGTGATCCATTAGAAAAAACATAACTTTGATGTGTAACTTTTTTTGGGGACACCCTGTATAATTCTATATATTTTATAAAAATGCTTTCAGTTAACCTACATATGCTGCCAAAATTAATTTCGATATAAACTACCGTTCTACTTGGAGCTGCAGCGGCGTATGAGAGGCGCCACCCTGTATTTTAAAATATGGTTAATAGTAAAATAACACGGGTTCACACCAAATACAACAATATTCTTTATTTCGAGAAGTACGTTTTACGTTTCACTAATTATATTACCATCATCTGTAGATGATTTAAATTGCTTTAATAAGAGATCTCTTGATGATGCTAACTCTAAATGGCTTCAAACCACCAAAATTCAAAGTAAAATGTTGTGGGGTATTGTAGTAAAGAAGACTTATTTTTTAAGATGGCTTTTTACAAGAAGCTTTTTACGAGAATTAGCCACCGATTCGTATCACTCTTAGTTTCAGCAATAAGAATGATGACCACTGTAATTATCACCACCTTCTCTATACAGGGTGTTCCTTAATGATATATGTACTACCGAGTGTACTACTATTTAGGGAGACGATTGTTCGATTAAATTTTTGAAAAAATCTCCATATAGCTGTATGTAGAGAATGTAGAATATTTAGGAGGGGAGTTAATCACCGCGACCTTATAGATCTATTGTGTGTTCCCCTTTCTTGAGTTATAACTCGTTATAACTCATCATAGAGTCTCAGGGCTTTAAGAAAAGCCAGTATCTGAGACGGCTCCACAGAGGCCAGCTCTCCATCCTCGACATCAGACGTACCAAGGTTCATGGCACGAATGGTCGTCGTCTCGGCGCACTCAGTGTTAAGGTGTTGTGGTGTTTCCCCATTATCCCCACAAAATCTGCATTCGCCGTTGTTTCTCAGTTTCAGCCTACTGAGATGTTCGTTGAGGAGACAGCGTCCTGTTAGAAATCCCGTGACAATCCGAAGATTGTTTTTACTTAAATCAAGGAAACCCTTTGATTTTTCTCGGTCATAAGTTCTAAGGAACTTTTTCGAGTGTCTTAGACCGTTGGAGGACACCCATTCCAAGTTACGGATCGAGTCTTCCAGATTCTTCAGTTCCGCTTTCAGTTGGTTCCCGTTTGGAAAACAGAACGGTTAGTGGAGTGTTCGCTCCTTTTCTAGCTAGATCATTTGCTTTTTCATTGCCTTCTATCCCTTGGTGAGCAGGCACCCAGAGTAGGAGGACTTTATTTTCTTTGCCTAATTTGTTGAGCTTCTCTAGGCATTCTTTGACCAACTTCGAATTGATGGTTACTGAGTTGATCGCATTAAGTGCTGCTTGACTATCGGATAGGATTACAATTTCCTGTTTTCGATAGTTCCTATCTAAGATAAATTGTTCGCATCTTTCGATAGCGCAAATTTCTGCTTGAAGGATACTGGGGTAGGTGCCCATTGGTTCGGAATATTCAGTTCTCGGCCCAAATACTCCTATCCCTGTCCCTGCTTTGGTTTTGGAAGCATCAGTATACCACGTGATGGTATGGTCTTTTATATACTGAGTAAGCGTTTCTTTCTTCCAATCCTTTTTATTACTCAATACTACGGTGAGGTGTTTCTCAAAGTTGTAGATTCTTGGTATGTCATCCACTGGGAGATGGAGAAGTGGAATTTTCTTTTTGAGGGTGTTCCAAGCCCCTGACCTGAAAATTCTCCCAGTACTGTTTCCGTCAGTAACCATTCTAATCATTGTCGCATTGACATAACTACCGACGACAATGTGCAGTAGTGTTAGGTCTAGAATGACCTCCATTGCTGCTGTTGGACATGTTTTCATGGCACCTGTGATGCAGATACATGTCAGTCTCTGTACTTTGCACAGGTTTTGCCTTGCTGTACGTTGCTCTAGTTTTGTATACCAAGCAACTGCTCCATAAGTAATCATGGGTCTTACTATCATGGTATACATCCAGCGCAAAATGTTAGGTGCGCAGCCCCACCTATTTCCCGCCAGTCTTCTGCATATCATGAGAGCCTTTGTGGCTTTGCTGGTAATGTTCTTAATATGCCTGTTCCAGAGAAGTTTACTATCCAGGATTATTCCCAGATATTTCACTTCCTGTGATGGCAGTATTTCTTTCCATCTAGATGGATTCTTTTCAAGTTTTTCAAACTTCACTTTCTGGTGAATGGCACTACTGCGGTTTTATCTGAGTTAATACTCAGCCCGACAGTCCTGCACTATCTCTCAGCGATGCGGAGTCCCCTTTGGATAATATCATACAGGGTGCCTTCATGTTTCCCCCGTGCAATGATCACTATGTCATCTGCGTACCCTATGCAGTGTATTCCCGCTAGAGTTAATTCTTCCAGTAGTTCATCCACTACCAAGCTCCACAGTAGGGGGGAGGACACTCCACCTTGTGGAGTTCCTTGCGTTGTTTTAACAACTACAGTTTTGGTACCTATCTCAGCCTCTGCTGTTCGTGTTGAGAGCATTTCCCAAAACCAGCGAATTATCGTACCGTTCACCCCTCTTGTTTCAAGAGATCGCTTGACCACCTTGTGAGGTATATTGCCAAACGCCCCTGCAATGTCCAAGAAGCCACAAAGTGCTGTTTCTTTGCTATCCAGGCTGTATATATAGCTGTATGTCCTAAACGTTTTAAAATTATATTTTAATTAATTGCAAATACTGTTTTTCTTAGTTACTCTTTATACTGTATATTATCAATAACTTAAAATACCTAACACTTAATAAAATTACAGCACCTTAAACTTCGTGTATAATATGCACATTTATTGAAAAATAAGACACTACATCTCTCGTAAACTTAGGCATCTGTACCTACTTAAGATCAACCAGCACGCACCGATTTATAATTAATATGTAAATTATAGCGTAAACTTTCATTAGTTAGGTGACTCGTGCGTACGATCGGCCTTTCAAAGTCAGCCGACAACAACCCCGCCCCCTATCAAGGAGATTACGACGCCCCTGGCGGAAGATATCGAAACTAACGCTATAATCACGCCGGATTCCGTCAACGAAATCAAGAAATATACGGTGTTGACCAAAGCGGCAACCACACCAATAGGAGGGCAGTTGAATGGAAATGGTTCTTCAGTTCCAGTGTCCAGTGTAAGAAAACTATTTTATTTAGAATTAACACCAGTTGTTAGATTTGCACCTACAATTAATTAAAAAATTAATAATTCATATATTTTAATTGCTTTTGAAGTAATAGTTTAAACGTCAAAATATTATTAGACCGACATTTTGATAGACTCAGCAGCGATTTTTATTATTTGTTTGCTAAAACTGCCTCTATTAGTTTCGGGGTTTTAGTATCCCATCACCAGGCTAACAGGAGACTTAAGTAGATTAATTATTATACAGAGTGGTCGGAATTGTATTCCAGAAATTTAGGTAAAAAATAACTAAAAATAATTAAAAAAGTTCGTATAAATGTATGTCCTAAAATGTTTAGTTTCGGAGACGCAGGGTGTAGAAGTTTCATTCTTATTTCGATTTTTTCCAAATAACTTCTGAAGTAACATCAATATTTGGACAAAAATTGTCGTCTGGGAGTTTTTCGACATGAGAAATTTGATATAGATATCAATGTGACTCCTACTTGTAGAGGGCGCCATCTGCATATTTTTAACTGGTTTGAAAAATAATAACTTTTCGTCCGTACCTCTAGGAAACTACAGAGAAAAAAAGATATATTTATGGGGTTTTCTACGTCTTTTCTACGTCTCGATATATTTGAAATCGAAATTATCAATACCTGTCACCATTGGCAATAGCTATATTTTAATTAATTAATAAATATGTTACTCACTCAGTAGTTTTATACAGGCACGGAAAATATATTACACTTCAAAATAGTTAAAACACATGTAGGTGGCACCCCCTATATACAGTGAGCCTTAAATAAATGCAAATATTTTCAGGGGTGGTATATTTCGACCCCAGAAACACGTTTGTGAGCTTTTTTCGCAAAAAAAGATGTTGAAAATCGTGCATTTTCTTTTAAATTTCCTTGTATATTTTTCGAAAACTTTTTAGAACTGCCTGTTCACCGCAAATTTTCCCACGGTATAATTTCTTAATCTCTGATATTACCATAGTTACGGCTTTACTCCCCATGGTTACGGCTTTACTCCCCATGGTTACGGCACTAAAAGGGATGCAAATACAGGAAAAATCCGGTGACTCTCAAAATTTAAAAAAAAAATAATTTTTGTTTATTTTCAAACTTAAATAACTCGGTTATTTTAGAATTATGTAATAAATGGTGAAGAGAAAATATGTTTCTTTTATCGAGATCTACCAGCCCTGAAAATATTTGCACTTATTTAAGACTCACCCTGTATAGGGGTCATATTGACATCAAAATAAAATTTCTCAAGTCAGAAAACTCCCAGGCATCGGTTTTCACGATTTGACGTTACATCAGAAATTATTTGAAAGAAATAGACATAAAAATGAAACTTTTACACCCCGTGTCTCCGAAACTAAGCATTTTAGAACATACATTTCTACGAACCTTTATACTTATTTTTATCTGCAAAATATGCTGCCGAAATTTCCGGAATACAGTTCGGCCCACCCTGTATTACTACATTAAAATTTTAAATTTATCTCAGAAGATAATTCCAAATATAGGCGTTGCCATTGTCATTATTTTACACTAAATATAAATAAGAATGAACTGTTGTCATAGCATTATTGAATTATAAATTTAGTAATTTAAAAAACATCAGTATTAATCTTAAATCTTTTGCAGACTACAGAATTACCGATTCTCCAAAAAATCAGCTCTACACCAGGACCAGTAGACGTTACTACCAGAGCTACCGTAGCTCAAAGGATCACTACAATGGAACCTCCTATCTCGAATTCCATTATTACAATTTCCTCAACTACGTCAACTACAGGTAAGAGGAACTACAGGTATACGAGTATAGTGTTAGATATAGTGTGCACTTAGAATAAATTTTCTGCTACAACTTATAAAATAAACATTCTGTTCTGAAATCAAGCATTTATCCAAAAATTTCTATATGGGTTTTTTGCCACTGCAAGAAAATCTACAAAATAAAATATTTATTTTATGTAAACACTTCTGCGTTAATCCCAAAGAGAAACGACTGGTCAGAAGTTAGGTTTAAAGATATACAAATTTGCCTAACGAACAAAAAAATGCTTATTGGTATACCCTTTAGACCTATTATAGTCAGTAGTATAAATTCTCCATTCCATCCGTTAGCAAAATTTTTACTAGACATATTAAATCCGATTGCAAATAACACCGATTCATACATTAAAAATACACCACACTTTATAGAAAAAATTTAAAAAATTAATATAACCTAACACCTAACAGTTTAAAGGTTAGTTTTGACGTTGTTAGTCTTTTCACTAATGTGCTGGTAGATAAATCACTTAAAATAGTTAGGGATAAATTAGATTAAGATAAACATTTAATAGATAGAACAAAATTAAACATAGACAGTATTTTGGAATTGTTGACACTTTGTGTTAAAAGTACTTATTTTCAATTAAATAATAAATTTTTTCAACAAGATTTTGGTATGACAATGGGAATACATCTTTCTCCTTTGTTAAATAATATTTTTATGGAAGATTTTGAAAATAATACAATAAATAGTTTTTCAAAAAAGCCTGTAATATAGCTGCGTTATGTTGATGCGATATTTTTGCAATATGGCACCATAACATTTCTGAAATAGACATTTTTTTGGATTATATAAATTCTAGCGAACCTACCATGAAATTTACTTTAGAAGTAGAGAGAGGTAATTGTTTGCCATTTCTTGATGCTTTAGTTAGTTTTAAAATAAACTAATTTTAGATGTTTACAGAAAACCCACAAACACAGATAGATACTTAAATTTCACATCTAATCACAGTATAAGTGTAAAAAAGGTGTTATAAAAAGTTTATATGATAGGGCAAAAATAATATGTTCAGACGACATTTCACTAAACAGAGATATAAAATACATAAAAAATACATTAATAAAAAACGACTATCCACCATATTTTATTGACAAAAGATTAAACGAAATACAAACCCCAAATCATAGACACAATGATAACAATACACAATATATACAACTTACAATTCCATACATACGAGGAGCTTCGGAAAAAATAAGAAGGATAGGCAAACAATATAACATACGAATATCTTTCAAAACACAAAATACACTTAGATCCATTTTATCACATACTAAACCAATGAATACAGAACAACAAACAAAAAATGTAATACTTATACCAAATACCATGCGTATGCGATAAATTTTACATTGGTGAAACATCTAGATCCTTAAATGTTAGAATTAAAGAACATAAAGATTATTTAAGAAAGGGAGATTTTCACAAATCTAAGATTTGTCAGCATTCATGGGACATAGGGCACAAATAAATTTTAATAACGCCAAAATTATAATGAAAGAAGCGATAGCCTCTAAAAGAAAAATAAAGAAAAATAAAAGAGGCTTTTTTAATACAATCTAATAAAAATAAATGTATCGCTCATGCATCTGTAGATGTTAGTAATGTTTGGCAATCGCTTTTTTGATTTTAAAGAACAAAACCTAAATAAACATAACATACGTAAAAATTAAAAATAATCATACAGAAAGTTTGGGGTTTTTTGGTTTTACCTTATTAAGTAATTGTTATCAGGTAGTAATTGTTAATTTTGAAATTTAGCTTGATATAAAAAATGTCATTTTAACAGAACGTCAACAGTTTTTGTAGACGTATTTAAAAAAAAAAACTAAAAGTGTTCTCGAATAGTTGAGTTTAAATATTTTTAAATGTTTTTTTCTTTATTCTTTGTATTTTTTTTGATTCTGACGACGACGGAGAGAGATGAACTTTCCGACACGTTAAGCATTTTTTTGTTCGTTAGGCAAATTTGTATATCTTTAAACCTAACTTCTGACAAGTAGTTCCCGTTTGGGATTAACGCAGAAGTGTGAAAAACCCATATAGGAATTTTTGGAGAAATGAATCCGCCACATAGTATAGACATATTTTATCAAGCATTTAATTTTAACAAATTTAATTATATTGACAGCTTTACCACCAACCACGACAGGTATAAGAACCAGGTTAGAAACATCCAATGAAGCAATAAGTTTAGGATTGCCTTGCGTGACAGATTTGCAATGTAGGGCAGCCGACCAGTCTTCAAGATGTATAGAAGGTGTGTGCGATTGTATCATTCAAGGAAATGGAACGAAATCATGTTCTGCCAGGAATAGGGGATGTATTCCAGGAACTTTTCAGGTTAGTTTGTTGTTTAACCTAATTTATATGTACTGTTTTATTAGCTATTTATGACAAATTTTCTCTCCAAGTCTTAACGCTCCGAAGATTGATCATAAGCGTATCATTGATTGATAGGATAAATTGTTTAATCACTCTATATATAGTAGTATGCTTGTAGTGATTCCACTTCCATAAAAACATCATCATCATTATCACTGTTTCCAGACTTCATTCAACATACTTTTGAGAACTGCGTTCGGACTTTGGTTGTTTCTTTATCGATGAAAGTGGTGTTATCGTTTCCATCTTTATAATTTCCTCTTCCTTGTTTTTTATTGTTCTGTCTGCGAGTTTATTTAGTGGTAAGTTATAGGACCTAATATTCTATTTAGGGCTTCATCTCCCTCATCACGTTCTAATTTCAAGGCTAGATGCTCTTTTCGTATATGTCTAACAGCATTTATAATCTTTCTCTGAACTTCTCGTTCAACTTTTGTTAATATTTTAGGCATTTTGAATACAATCTATTCCAACAGCTCAATCGGGTCAACAGATCTGTTCAACAGATTAATCGGGTCAACAGATCCGTTCAACAGGGCCGTTCGAACGGATCAACAGGTCTGTTCACAGTCTTGTTAGTACAGATTAAACAAATACTTCAAACTTTCTGAGTTGCTTAAAGAGATTCTATGAACAACTGTTAAAAAAAATCTTGACAAATAAGCTATTATTAGTGGAAATATGGATAAGTTTGCAAAAAATCTGAAAATTTTTGGGTTAAGGAATGTTTGCCCGGTTTTTTTATTATCATAAAATATGACAAAATTCAAAAAAGTTTCAAAATGTGATAGCTGTTGATTCTACCTTTTAAATTTTAAATGAACTTTGAATCATCAAAAAATATTAAATTTTAGGTGAGTTACTAAACAATTTGTTCTATCAATCAATGATACGCTTAGGAAATCTATCTTCAGAATGTTAAAACTCGGAGGGGAAATTAAGGGATCTTCGAGACAGAATATCTCAAAAACTACCGACTCTATGTGAAAAATGATAAGGACCATTACAAGTTTCATTTCTTATTAAAGAAAAATGTTGTAAATTGCATACTTTGGCGGATAGTCGCCGAAGAACTGATTTTTGGGCCACTTGGGTCCATTTCTTACATTGAATTACATTTTTTTTAACTACTCTATAGGAGGTACAGGGTGGGCCAAATTGGACGCCTTTAAAGGGAAACACCCTTTTCTATAGGAGGTAGACGAAAACTAATATCGGTGTCTGGAGCTCAATTTTTGTCAAAAACGTGATGGTGAAAACAGCGATATCTGTTATCGTTTCGGGTGGTTTCGGAGTTACGGAGTTTTCAAAAATGTGTATTTTTAATAAATCGCTGTAACTTTTTTGCTATGGAAAATTTTGTATTTTTATGAAAATATTTCCAAAGCACCTTTTTACGTAGAATAATAATGCTTTAAGTATTTTTTTTTTAAATTAATAATTTAAGAATTCTCAACAGAAAATTTTATTTTTATATGGAACACCCTGAATATTTTTAATTTATTGAAAAGAATTTAAAATTACCTTTCCACAAATATAACACACTTGATATTTTGCTCTATTCCTCTTCGAGATATAGAATTTATAAAAATTCGCTTACATTAAATAACTAGACTTTGACCGGCGCCGGCTGTAATGCAAAAAAGTTCTAGACGTGATCAATTAAAACGAAAATAATATTTGAAATGAGAGATGCAGAACTTTATAACAATTTAAACTATATTTAACCAACATCAACACATTTAAACTTTATCTAATAACAATAAAAATAAATAGCAAACCAAGACATGAGATTTTGCTACAGGTGTTCGAAATATCGACCGTCTTCTGTTATGGACAGACGGGGCCGTTTTTGAACATTTCTCGCGGAATTCATGAAATCAGTGGGGCTGAAATATACCCTCTCATAACTGCTAAGTATTTCTAATTCTTGTCTAGATTTTACGGGCAATTTAAAAACAGGATTAGATCCATAGGCACTAAGTCCGGCGGCCTCGACGTCCAACGGCTGGGATCTTGGTTGGCTATTCAATTATTCTGGAAATATTGGCTGCAAAAATTTGATGAAGACTTCAGCGTTCCGAGGCGGTGCCTCGTCTAGCTGGAAAAATATGTTTTCGAGTTCCTTTAAGGGCATATCATCAATAAGGGTTCCAAAGCCTACTAGTTAAAAATGGCGAACTTTTAAAAATTCTATATTTCGAAGGGGATTTTAACAAAATATTAAGTGTGCTATTTTTTGGAAAGGTAATTTTAAGTTCTTTTCAGTTAATTAAAAATATACAGGGTGTCCCAAATAAAAAATAATTTTTTCTGTTGATAAATTTTAAATTATTAAATTTAAAAAAAAATTACTTAAGCCATTAAATTCTATGTCAAAAGGTGCTTTGAAAATGTTTTCATAGAAATACAAAGTTTTCCATAGCAAACAAGTTACAGCGATTTGTTAAAAATGCACATTTTTGAAAATCTAACTCCGTAACTCCGAAACGGTAACAGATATCGATGTGCGGTTTTCACCATCATGTTTTTGATGAAAATTTAGCTCCAGACACCGATATTAGTTTTCGTCTATCTCCTATAGAAAAGAGTGTTTCCCTTTAAAAGCGTTCAATTTGACCCACCCTGTACACAATCCGCCAGAAAAGTCGCGGTCGAGAAATTAGACCTTGGTTTCAACCCTATTTACTGGACTAAATACTGAAAATAAATTATTGGAATGAAAATTTATTATTTCTTGTATTATTAAAGAACAAAATCAATCTAAACCAAGTAAATTAATTGAAATATCAATTTGATTTAATTGAAAGTAATCAAAGATTAACGAAAGCAAATACTAATTAAATTCTACAAAACTAGAACTCAATTTCCTTCTGCCCTGCTCCTTTATCAATTAGATGCGCCAATTCCCACAACAATTTCGTATTTTATCCATTTTTCTCTTTATCGATTTAAAATTAATTACCGATGCAGGAAGCGAAAACTACATAAAATTCCACCGTGGCGGTCCTCGCGATGATTAGCTAATAATTCAATGAAAAGATAATAGAGCGTTCGAGATTGATAGACTATGTGAACAATGGTGCAGGTGTCAAAACAGTTTATAACCGCATACCAGTGCACAGATAATTAATCACATGCAAGAATTTAATCTGGAAGAATGGTCTGAATATTGAGAGCTCGACGGGGTGGCTGGGTTTAAGAATGACCTGTTTAGTTTTAACTTTAGTCTTAAAGCTTCATTTAGACCTTGAAATTAGTGGACTAAATTAGTGGTTTCAATTAAAATAGAAATTTGTTCCTCTAAATTCAATATAAAGGACGGTCCACACTTGCTATATAACACTGCTATATAGCAAAGTTATATAACATGTTACATATTTTTTAGTCATATTTGGCAAATTTCGATGCTATATAACTTGCTAGATGTTATCCATTTGAAGTCGGTAGGTTAGCTAGATCAAAAGATGTTGTGCAACACTGCTATTGTAATGGTGCGTTTAGACTTGAGCACGCACGAGCTGAGCGTGCGCGCACGGCATTCGTTCGCGCTCTCGGCTCCGTTCAAATTAAAAACTTATTTTTTCGACGAATGAAGTGATCCATTTGTGCGCGCACAGCAGTGTTGTGTTGGCGAAAATAATGGACGACCAAGAAATAGTCGAGGCTGCAGTCATTGTTATGCACAGCTTAATTATTAAAAAGAAAAAAAATCGAAAACATCGTCGCTGGTGGCAAACCCAAATTTTTAGAAATCGATATAATTTACTGCAACAACTTAGTGTCTGAGGAGGGCTATGATCAGTTCAAAAACTTTACAAGAATGACCAGGCCTGACTTTGAATATTTGCAAAATTTAATAACACCCAAAAATTACGAACAAAAGATACAAATTTTAGAATAGCAATTTCATTAATATCGACATATTCAATATTAATTTTATTTTCAAGGTTTTGCCATGCGATATATTTTTTTTGATTTTTTAATAATACAAAGAATGTTTAACATCCCATAATATAGGCAACTTTTCATATTTTTCAATTAATAATAACGAAGATTCATTGATCCATAATTGTAATAAAGAAAACGAAAAAAAATTACACACGCACGCACGAATGCAGACAAAACAAATTGCCGGTCCAAATTGAGCGTTCGCGCACACATAAAATCCCTTTGAGCACGGACCAAAGACCGACACCAGACGGCTCACGTTCGCGGCTGCTCGCGCACCGACAGATTCAGAGTGAGCGTGCGCGCACAGCCGTTTACACTTGAGCATTCGCGGAGGATCAGTGCGTGCGTGCTCAAGTCTAAACGCACCATAACATGAAACAACGCGTCCACACTTGCTAAATTTCTAGTTTAGCCGCTCATATTTTCAGGGACGTGCGCGACAGAATCTTAGTGTGGTGAGCTGATATTGGTTTGTTTATTTACTGGTCAATAATACCCTATGATCTAAGAAAAACTGCGTCCAGTCGGCCTCCCGTCCAGTTGGCTTGGACATCACGATCGATGACATTCCCCATATAATTTTTCATATAAAATGATAGGGATCTTCATTTCACAGTATGTATTTGGAAAGAGAAAATGTTGAGAAAAAAATGCATTATCTAATAGGCCAGTTTTAGAGGAAACAAAAGAAATGCAAACCAGGTTATGGTTTAGATGAAGTGGATAATTCAAAATGGTTTGCTTTTAAGTTATTAATATTTTTAAAAGACAGAAACACACCACGAGAAACAGCCGAGGCAAGTATTGAAAAAATAAGCTAATTGAGTTCAACTATATCTAGATCTTGCTGGTAGGCTCTGGCGAACTCAAAATCGCTTTTTTTCTCGACTTTCTTTCTCTTTGTTCAAAAATAATTACGCACGCCGCTGCTGTGAGCTGAACCTCTTTCTCACCAAAACGATTCATGATTATGAAAACTATAATGTGGACGGTTCCAGGTTTTTTAACATGTGATATGTAGCTTGTTAACTAAATGTGGACCCTCCTTAAGCAATGTCAAAATTAGTAGTAGTAACTTCCAATTAGTAGAAAAATTTAACAAATTTTTCCTCGAATTAAGCTTCATTCAGAACGTCGCAATTAGTGGAATAAATTAGTGCTTTCAATTACACTTTATAATGTTTAGTTTACGATCATTCACAATGTCTAAAACACAATTAAAATTAATAGAATATCCTAGCAACAGCTTACGGTAATCAGTTGTATCCATAGAGAAAGCCTATTATTTAGCTTATAAAATAATAAACTTTTGATTTCTATCCATATTTTCTCTTGACGGATGATAATAAAAGGCCAAAATAACATTCCTCGCAAATTTTGAAGTATAATTAGTGGAAAAATTAAAAGTTTGTAAACATGTACAAATTTATGCGTCAAAACATACTGGAGCCTCGCACCTCGCCACGCACCTATATGTTCAGCGCGATGCTTCCTTGGAAACAAAATTTTTGTTTTTTTGCGACAAGCGGACGCGGATGCCTGAAACTTTTCATTTGATTGGTCGGTTTAGGATCACAATTCGTTGAGCATATGTCGAACTAGAGTCGGGTGGAATAAAATCTTCACAATACTAGTATTTAATTTATCACCAACAATGTAATCACCTTGATTCTACAGGGTCCGGCAATAGTGCGTCGGGCATCTGCAGCTCCTATAATAAAAAACTTAAGAATTTTGTAGTCCAGACATAAAGTATGTATTAGGATGTATTTGAGGAAAATATTTGAACTTCTAAAGGGTGGCTCAAAAAAGTGTGAGTGGATCGTGAATATTTTTTTTTAAATGGAACACCTATATACAGAGTTATAGCAAGTACTTTAATCGCTAGTTGATTAAAAAAAAGTATACCATTAATATTGCAAATTATATTTTATCCTCTCATAGTATATGGCTTTTTAATTTTTAGCCGGCCATACCAAAATGAGTTATTTGGGTCATAAATGAACTAAATACAAAATATTTTCATGGTGTCTGTCTGTCTGTCTGTCTGTCCGTCTGTCCGTCTGTAACACGATAACTCAAAAACCGCTAAACCGATTTTAACCAAATTTGGCACAAAAATACTGTGGCACCCGAGAATCTGGCCATTAGTTCTTGGTGGGGGTGGGGGGTTGGTAAGGGAGTATGGGAGGGAGTTAAAAATTAAAAAAAAAATCGTAACTCCAAAATTACAGTAGCTAGCGAAACGCGGTTTTCAAATTAAGATTAGGAATAATATTTGCAACAAAATTTGAAATAACATCAAAATCAGTCAAAGTCGCAGTTTTCGAGATATTAACATATTTTAGTATGGGCGGCTATACGTGCCTCCCGGCGCCAATTTTTTGATGATGTAACGAGCACTTGGTTTACTCACTTGTTTCGTCGAAATGCTTGAATCCATTTTTGCTTTTCATCAAATCCTTGTGAGAAACTATGAAGCTATAAAATTTTGTTTCAGGAGAGTTGAATATCCGGGAAAGTTGAGTTATTGAATGTATGTAATTGCACCCAACAACGCCCTAAGTACGCTCTCCTTTACGCTTTAATATTTTTTTGGCAATTTTATTAATATTTGAAATTGTCACAACATAGCACGACGCCTAGTTCGAGTTCTTTTTCATTTATTTTTTATTACCCGAAACAGCGTTAGGCCGGCCACACTTTAGATGCGAATTTTTATTGTATGAACCGTATCGATAGTGGTCGTACGAATTGAGTGCGCACACCAAAAACGCTTTCCTCCGTCAAACAGCAGTGTTTCGGTGACATTGTTATAAATATCGCACTCGTGGAGTCCTCTTTGGAGCGCAATGAATCTGTATCTTCAAGATAATTCTCTTCTATGGAGATTGCGGCGATGTCGTCGCTATCGTAGAAGAGAATGGGTTCGTGAAATATATCTAAAAAGAAATGAAATCGGCGAATTTCATCATATGGAAGACTTATTTAATGATCCTTTAAATTTTAATTGCTAGTTTCCTTATACCATGGTTATAGTAAAATGTTTTCGTACAGCAAACTTTCATATCCCATTCTATACACTAAGGGTACGAATTACCTAAATTTGTGTTAAAAATTACATTAATTACCATTATATAATTACCTACATCCATTTTTTTCAACGGTTCAACGCACGAAAACGTTCAAAAATCCGTTCAAAGATGTCGGAACTACGCGTGCGTTTACGTACGACCAATTCGCACCCAGTATGCGCGCTTCCATTGTACTAGGAAGGTCGAGATCATTCGAAAACGCGTTCAAAATGCGGCCGGCTTTACATCACACAAACCTGAGTGTTTTATCTCTTTTTTGTCTCAATAACTGCACTAGCAAAAAACTAAAATACTTAAATATTATAACCAAACCACGATTTCAATATCATTCTATGCGATCAACATGACGGCGACGTGAAATAGGTAGGGGTAATATCTGATTTTTGCCGTTGTAGCGCTGGGGTCGGAATTTGTTGAAATCAACTGAAATGCAACAAGGGCGTATACTAATTAATTAATTAATAACTACTTTATATAAACTGGTGTTTAACAAAACGGCGATGGTAAATGCTTCAGTATGCCTACGCGCACCTATTCGCCGTTTTAAAAGAGTGCGCGTAGGATGCATCGCGGCTACCATCCTGGAGAGCAGCGCGGCCAGCATCTTGGCGAGCATCGCATCGAGATGCCTGACTATGTTTGTGCCCTAACACTAATTTAGTCGTTCGAAATACTTACATTGAAACTAAAGGAAAAAACCCTCCACAAAAATCATATATGAGTATTTCGCCACTGCAAATAGTTTTTTGTAGTTTTTCTACAAAGGAAAAAACTTCTAAGCTATTGAAACCTCTAAATTATTCCACTAATTGCGAGATTCTGAATGAAGCTTTATTTTTTTCACTAATTGAAAATTCCTACCACAAATTTTAACGTTCTGAATGCTTACATTGAAATTAAAAGGAACAAACTTCTACACTAATTGAAACAAAAACCACTAATTTATTCCACTAATTGCGTCGTTCTGAATTAAGCTTTATACTTCAAAATTTGAATTCAAAATTTGTGAGTAATGTCAATTTTATCTTTAATTATTATAACAAACAACTGTGTTGCAAAATTGAATTTAAAATGTCGACAAAAGACTTATCTACATGATTTTTTAACATAGGTACCATTTTTAGGGTTCCGTACCCAAAGGATAAAAACGAGAACCCTATTACTAAGATTTCGCTGTCCGTCCGTCTGTCACAAAGGTCTATCTTATGAACCGTTATAGCTACACAGTTGAAATTTTTATATAGATAATGTATATATGTTGCCGCTATAAGAACAAATACTAAAAACAGAATTAAATAAATGTTTATAAATAAAAAAGTACTTTCACTAAACATTAGCTTTTAAGTAAGAATTTTACATAGAATATTTTAAGTCCTCGGTGGCCGCGTGGTTTAAAGCGTTAGGACTTTACGCTGCTATGACGTTGGAGCCGTAGTAAGGCAGGTTCGAATCCTAGTAAGGCGACATTTTTTTAATCGTTTTTTTTTAATTTTTACATATTTGTACATATTATTTATTTTTACTTTTTACATATTTATAATCGATTAATACATTTTTTAGTAATGTGTTTCTTCATTTTTTTTTAAATTACTTATACGCGCATTCAAAATATTTCAGCTTAATCGGAAAAAAAGTTTATAATAATATAGTGTCTAATGTTGTATAGATAATGAATGTTACGAAACCCTTCGTGCGCGAGTGCGTCTCGCACTTGACCAATTTTTCAATATAGTTTCTGTATAAATGACAGCAATCTGAATAATCTAGCGAAGTCCGACGTATTTCTTGGTACTATGGTACATAATGTATGCCTTACTTAGATTACTTTTGTTTCTATGTTCTAATTAGTAATGTGTTTGGTCTTTTGTTGTTTTAGTGTCGAAGTACCGGAACATGCATAAGTTGGTTCTTCGTTTGCGATGGTAGAAAAGACTGTTCAGATGGATCCGACGAAGACTGCAATCCCAGCAAATGTCCTAACGAATCATTCAGATGCAGAGAATCGGGAAAATGTGTTTCCAAAGCAAGTAGATGCGATGGCGTTAACGATTGTCATTTAGGTAATTCACAGTTAAATTATAATTAATTAATTCGCAATTTTTATTTTCAATATCTCCAATACTCATCGATGTATGAATTTCAAACATTATTTCAAACGTACAGTTTTTTCCATAGCAATAGTTAAAATTGCCTTATATCTATCAAAAATAGTTGATAAAATAGTACTTTAACCGCAAGAGTAGATTAAATGATACTTTAAAAGCGAGGATAGGTTAAAAACTTTATTTCTTCTCGCACTTAATTGCTTCCGTTTTTGAAAATTTTTGTATTCCTTTTCATAAGTTATTCGGGATTTAAATGGAAGTAGTTAGGATGAATATCTGTTGGTAATTTACTTATTTCGTTTTGAGCCATTTCTGGCTCCAATTCAATCAGCAATCGACACGAAAGAGAATTAAAAAATATTGACTCAAAACTGACACCTAAAGAGACAGCTTTATTTATTTGTCAAATTACGTAGAAACCAACGCCAACCCAGCACAATATTTGTTCCACTCGTAATAAATTGCTTGAAATAATAATTTCTGAATATTTTTTACAACGTAACTCGCTATAGAAAAAAATATTGTTTTATACACGACGATAAAATTGCATTATCGTCTCCCGAAATTAATTCACTCGCGATTTCATCGCTCGTTTTTGGTCGACGATGAAATACCATTTTATCGTCTTGTATAAAAATAACTATTATTTACTTTCATAAATTTATTTTAGAAAATGTAAATTTACTTTGCTTTTTGAACCGTTTCGATTGATATTGCAAAGACTAGGATAAGAAAAAGTTTGAAAATTTCGGACATAATTCGGACTGTTTTTCATTGAGGCCATTTTGTCTAAAATATTTCTAAAATTTTAGTAGGTACTTCATACCAGAGGTAGATGATGCCAAGTTAGATACTTAAATGGAATGTTCTATACAGGGAGGGTCTTAAATAAGTGCAAAATTTTTAGTGATAATATATTTCGACCACAGTAACACGATTATGATTATTTTTTTCGGATTTTTTTAGTTTTTAGTTAAAAACATAATTTCTTGATGATGTAGGAACTTAGGTAGTAGATTAAATTTACAAGAAAGGAAACCCAGAAAAGATCCGGTGCTTATAAAAATTTAAGCAAAAAATATATATTTTTTTTTAATTTTCAAAGTAGAATTACTCGGTTATTTTAGACTTATTTGAAAAACGGCAAAGAGAAATTATGTTTCATTTATCGAGATCTACCTGACCTGAAAATATTGACACTAATTTAAGACTCACCATTTACTTATTTGCCAATTATTAAATGCATTTTTCTATTTAGGTGAAGATGAAGAAAACTGCCAAGTCTTTGGTAGAAGTAAATGCCCACCAGACACATTCCAATGTGCCGACGGAAAATGTCTGCCAGAATACGAATTCTGTAACGCCATCATCGGTTGCAGGTAATATTTATTGAAAGTTATTAAATGTCAATTGTTTTTGCCTACTTTAAATCATTGTAAAAGCATAACTAATATTATGATCATAGACAAGTTAATTTTACACCATTTTGCCCGATTCTGCCGTCGATATGTCTGGATTAGGGAACTCAAAGTATCAGAAGTAGAAATAGCTAGATTTTTTTAATCCTGGCATAATTAGACTTACATCTTAAGCTTGAATGCATCCGTTATCCGTTGATGCGGTGGTACGACGGAGCTCTGATTGGTCATAGCGTTTTCGCGCCACTTTTCATCCGTTTACTTCAGCCCGTCAACGGACCCGTTCATGCGATAACGGACGTTTTGACACTTTTTTGACAAACTTAATCTAACCTTAATAAAAATATAGGTAAAATAGCAAAATCGTTATGGAAACGAAAATATAAAATAACACCAACGTATATCCGATAAACGGAGGCATGAAAATGCGATAAATTTAAAAACTTCGTTATTTTCTAACTAATCAAAGTCTTTAAATTTTACTAATAAAATTATTATCCTATCAACGTATCGTCGGACAACGGATGCATGAAAATCAAGCTTTAAGCTTGATTTTCATGCATTCGTTATCCGTTGATTCGATGGTACGACGGAGTTCTGATTGGTCACGCGCCACTTTCGTTCGTTTTCGCGCCACTTTTCATCCGTAAATTTTTTACTCCAGCCCGTCAACGGGGAAAGATCGTACGATAACGGACGTTTTTACACTTTTTTGTCAAATCCAATCTAACCTTAATAAAAATATGATAGTACAAGAACTAGCAACGTCGGGAAAACGAGAATTTTAAAAGCGCTGGTTCTTTAATATATCTTTTGCTATGCTCTCCTGACCAAAGTGCGGGCCGTCTGGCTACTGCGGTTCACTACTATGCATTACATCAGTACAGGGTGTCCCATTTTCGTGTGTTTTATGGGCTTTCTACTTTATGAGTAGAGATACAAACATGTGTGATTTTCACATAACTTTGCTACTGTTTTATGAAACTACATAGGTATGATATACTTATGTTTGTCCTAGCCAGTTGCGGACTAGGGGGGGGCGGAAGGGGCGGTCCGCCCCGGGCCCCGTCTTTTAGGGGGCCTCCGAATCTTAATAAGTAATATTTTATTCAACTGGCAAACAACGCCAATAGTAGTTATGAAGCAGTTTGTAGGTGGAGTATGCAAACCATACGTATACGCCAACTATAAACAGTATAAATGGAAGCGGATATTTACTTAATTATCAATTATCAGGCCCCAGTAATTGTCAATGGCATTTTTTGTTTAGGGAATTAAATAAAGAGATAATTTTCTTTGTTTAAAATATCGAGTAATTATTATTTTTTATAAATTTTGAGACTGAATTTATTTATTTTAGCTTTTAAGTTATTTTTCAATGGTTTCATTGTTTATTTTTACTGAATAATGAATAAACATTTTAAATTACAACCAATGCACGGCATAACTTGTATTCTAGCTTCTTTGCCGATGATGAGCAGTGGAATCTTTAGTTTAACGGGGGCCACGGGCCTGAGACAACGAAGGGGCCCCTCGGATCTTGGAGGAGTTACAAAATCGCGATATTTTGTCGCGGTGTTTTTCTGGAACGGTAGCGAAAGTAACGCGGCTCATGTTATGTGGAACCGGTATTTTCATCACTTTGTCATCATAAGTTGCCATTAAATACATGCGAACATTCCGCTCGGGGATTTTCCGATCTAATACTCCATGGCCCGTGAATGGTAGCTTATGGCTCGTTAGCAAAATTATGTTCAATATTTTGATACCTCTAATTTATTACAGTTGGGATTGGAACCTTTGGTGTTACAACAGCAAAATAAAACACTAATTCACCACAATACGTCAAAACACTTTACTTTTGCACTTACTTCTTTTATTACATCAAATTGCATTCGTTTTTCGATTTAAAAATATTATTATAAGCTTCAAAAAATTGTTGTTATCGTTTTTCTGCAGCCTTTTTAGGGCTGGGGCCCTTAATACTCCTGGGGCCAGGACAATATAGTTATTACAGTATACAGAGTGTCCCAGACTGAGCGTGCATTAGAACTTTTTAGAGAACCACAATATCTAGAACGATTTTTTGCACACATCATTGTTTTACTGCAAGATCTATCGATTAAAAATATTTTCAACATGGCGGCACTTCCGGAAATACCGGAATTTCTCAGCAACTTTCTTATTTTAAATGGATACCCCCTATTTTTTATTACATACTTAAGTTCTCTGTAAAATTCTATGAATATTGATGTTAAACACTCTAACATTAACCATTTTTGAGAAAAAAATATTTAAAATTTTTGGAAGAAAAAAACTACCTGTCAAAAAAATTTGTACAGCCTAAAAGTCAAATTTAGTGATTATCACAGCCACTGTGACATAAAGAAAAGACATGTGGCTATCTATTTCAAAAATTAAATTGTTCAAATGTCATATAATAATGGCGGTAGCTGTGATGGAATTGAGCGATTAAAAAATTATCATAAATATTTTTTTTTCAAATGGAAACCCTGTATAAATAATTCAATTTTGTCAACCATTATACATACATACGTCATTCAATTTTCACACAAATGTGCATTAGAAGTATATCATTATCTGAACAGACCGGGGGCCACATTTAGCTTCGCCGCCCCGGGCCCCCGATAGGCTTAGTCCGCCACTGGTCCTAGCCTCTTTAGTTCCTAAAATACAGGGCGAATTTGTGATGCGCAGTAGTAAACATAATATGTTGAATGTTGAAACATATGACGCGGAGTAGTGAATGCAAAGGCCAGCGGCAGCCAGAGGGTCCGCACTCTACTCAGGAGAGCATAGCAAAAGATATATTAAAGAACCAGCTCTTTTAAAATTCTCTCTCAAAAACGTTGCTAGCTCTTAGACTATAGGTAAAACAACGAAATCGTTATGGAAATGAAAAATGACACCAATCACAAGCAAATCGTATTGCCGATGAACGGAGGCATGAAAATGCAATAAATATAAAAATTGCTTGATTCTCTAACCAACCGAAGTCTTTAAATTCAACCAATAAAATTAATATCATAGCATCGTCGGATAACGGATGCGTGAAACTCAAGCTTTTGACTGGCATATGCCATTCCTAATTCAACAATTCTATTGCATTAGGCATGACATACGCGTTTTTTACAAGATCTACTTAGAGGAGAAAATGTAACAAGAGAGCTTCTAGGTTTTTGGAGCGTTCACCATATCATAAATATTTATAAATTATATTAATCAATTAATTGAAGTATTTTGACGTATTTGTTCAAAAATGTTAACGGTAATATATTAAAGTTAAATGTTGACAATTCTAGTGATGGTAGCGATGAACCCGCTCACATATGTCGAGGTAGAGCAAGGAGGAAAATAAGAGGATATTGTCCGTTAAGGTGTGGCAATGGAAGGTGCAGATCCAGTGCGATTGCTTGTTCTGGAAGGGATGGTTGTGGAGATGGTACCGATGAAAGTCATTGTTCAGTTTGTCGTAAGTTCATTATTTTTTTCTTAATAACTCAAGTCCTTTAAATATAAATCATGATAACATACATGGTCACTCAAATGCGACCTCTTCTGGGATCTCGAACACTATGGAGATATGTTAAATTATGGCAAAGTTGTGTATTGATGTGCTTAATAATATGTTGTTTAGTAGCATTTAAAATTCCTAGTATTTCCGAAGATATTCGAAAAAAATCTAAAATTCAACATTTCGATTTTAATTTAGAGTTAGACAATAGTTGTTATGCATAGTAATACATACATGGCCAAAATTATTGCATATATCGTTTAAAAATATACGGAAAGGAATTTAAAGAATCTTTTTTTATACATAGCTTTGGTAATCTGTAATAAACATTTTTTTGTTAAAATGGATATGGTAAACAGTGTTTATCGTTCAGTTTGCAACTAAATGCAAATTTGCAGATGTGCAAGACCGTCAAATATCCCTAATTGCACGACGCAATCCCCTGCTTTCTAGTACTGCTATTAAAAATGAGTTAAGCTTGATTTTCATGCATCCGTTGTCAGACGATACGATGATACGATATTAACTTTATAGGTTGAATTGAAAGGCTTCGATTGGTTAACCAATCAAAGTCTTTAAATTCAACCAGTAAAATTAATATCGTATCATCGTATCGTCGGATAACGGATGCATGAAAATCAAGCTTAACTCATTTTTAATAGGTTGAATTGAAATGCTTCGATTGGTTAACCAATCAAAGTCTTTAAATTCAACCAGTAAAATTAATATCGTATCATCGTATCGTCGGATAACGGATGCATGAAAATCAGATTTTAGCTTGCCTTGAAGGAGTAAATGTTTCAAGAAAGAACATAGCCTAGCAAGAAGACTACATGACAGAGGATTACATTTAAGGGGGCCTGTACGTGTTCCGAAGCTTAATTTACACCACAAAATTACGCGACTACAATGGGGTGAGAAGATGAGAGCAAATGGACCTAATTGGAATTTCGTCATGTTTAGTGATGAAACAAGAATAGGTCTAGTGTCAGACTCGCGACGAACTTTGGTCTAAAGATCATCTGGAAGACGATTACACTTGAATGCAACTCAACCCCGTGTCCCGTTTCAAGGGGGAAGCATTATGGTATGGGCAGGTATAATCCACGGAGCTCGAACTCCTCTTGTTTTTATTGATGGCACAATGACATATCTCTTCATATCTTAGAGACGTTTTAGAGCCTATTGTGCGTCTATTTCGAGGGGCAGTGGGGGATGAATTTTTTTACATGGACGATAATGCTCCTCCCCATCGCACTTTAGCGGTTCGCGAATTTTGTGAGGAAGAGGGTATAAGAAAACTGTGGTGGCCACTGATGTCTCCAGATATGAATGTGAGCGAGCATGCTTGGGACATGCTAAAACGCCATATTGCCAAAAGGAATGATCCACCCCCGTACCTTAAATAAATTGAAAATTTCTGCGCGCGAAACATGGGAAGCCATTCCTCAACATCTTCTGGACAACTTAATTGAGAGCATATCATGTCGGTCGTCTCACAGCTTGCATTGAGGCTGGAGGAGGCAATACAGACTATTAGTTGTGAGAAATAATTAAAATTATTTTCATTATTTTCAATATTTTTTTATTTATTTCAATTTTAAAATGATATTTGTTTTTGTTGATTTTCACTCATTATGAAATAAAATTATAATAACAGCCTAGTTGCACTTAGATTTTTAATTTTATATTAGTTACTCGTGTAGTAAGCCAATCTGTCCAAAAATATAAAAAGAATCATATTAGGTCCAAAATAAAATAAAAATATCGTTATATGCAATAATTTTGGCCATGTGTGTATATCTACAATGTATCCAGAAAGTTAACAAGACCGAATATTAATTGAAAAGCTGGATAAACATTAGTAAAGTTTGCGCTTTTTAAAAACCAAAAAAGATACATGAAAATTTTGCGAAAAAAAAATTATCATGATCAAGCGAATCGCTTGCTATTCGCCATTCATCACCGAAAGAATATGTGCCCTGCGCACGCAACTTACTGCTTGGCGCTTGGCGTTAACGAGTACTTACAACAAGCGACGATCGAAAAACTGTATATACGAGCGATATTTCGCTCAAGCGATCGCTCGATTATTGCAATCGCTTGGAACTCGAGTACTCGATTATTCGAATTAATCGGTTTTTCCCCATCACTAGTTATTATAGACCCTCAAAAAATATGTTTTTTTAATAAATATTTTACTATTTTTTCTAGGATGTCCGGTAGTACAAGGAAGAAGTTTGTCATAGTACCCCAACTTGATGTGCTCCCATTGTACCATGCCAAATATTTTGTAAATTGTTTCCGTAAAATTACAAATAATACCTATTCGACTAGTAGTTGTAGTTTGTTAGAGTTTTATTCCGTTAGCTGTACGAATTAATTTAATGCTCAAATTATTACTATTAATTATTAATATTGTACTTAAAATAGAATGGTTTATTTATTCGAATTAAATTTATTACGTAGGGTACCATACGAATAATTTAGATGTAAAAATGTGTTAAGGCTATCATTATAAGCTAGATAATATAATGTGTAAGTACAAATTTAAGTAAATAAATGAGTTTCATTCAAGTAATATACCTTCTTGTCTACATCACTACTCTAAATTAAACTGGAAAAAATATACAGGGTGGTCCGAATTATATTCCGGAAACTTTGACAGCATAATCTGCATATAAATATAAGTAAAATGTTCGTATAAATTATTATAATGCTTAGTTTTGGAGATACAGGGTGTAGAATCTTGATTTTCATTTCGATTTTTTTCCGAATAATTTCTCAATATTTCGGTAAATATTGGTGTCCGGGATTTTTTGGCATGAGAAATTTGATCTTGATGTCAATATGACTCCTACTTGTAGAGGGCGCCACCTACATATTTTTTCACTGTTTGAAGAGTAATAACTTTTTGTCAGCACCTTTATAAAACTACTGAGTGAAAAAATATACATTTCCGTGATTTTTTTCTCTTGGTAAAAATCGCCACGAGCAACTGTTTTCTAATGAATATACTAACTTACTAATTCGTAAACTCATTATTTTTTAAAATTTAGATTGAGCTTTATAATAAAAATTATATTGAATTATTATTTTTTACCTTAACTTTAAAACACCCTGTGCAATAATTTCGTGAGCAAATTTTACTAAAATATTATTTCTCTGTCACAACGACGTCTCCTAAGGAACGTGCATATTAACTAACGGACTATAAGGAGAAAATTCTATGAAGCAAATCTTATGTCAAGAAGGCCCGCTTCGGGACCAGAACTTACTAGATGTGATGACTAGGCGCAAAAGCAAAGGCATGGTTAATGTAAAAATTGCGAAAAATGTTATTGTCTTCTTCGAAACGGAATATTTCCAACAAAAATAAAACTAATTAAATAAACCAAAAAACAAACCATCGAGAACGGATGTATCTAGATGATAAAGTGATTCTTAAAGTTCTTGCTGTTTTAACATATTCCACGGGGTATTTCAAACTTTCACCAAAATATCAACATTTTGTTTTCCCTCATATAATTAACACATGGGAAGTTTCATTTTTAATTTAGAAAAAGATACTAAAAAGTCAAATAATTTGGCTACACACTGCTTAAAAAATCGTCAAAATCGGCCCATTAAATCAAAATATATTAACCTTTAAAATACATCAAACTTTTAAGGTGCCCATTTTTCGTGCCGTTGAATGTATTTCAAAAACTATACATTTTAGTTGTATACTTTTCTAATGAAACAAACCTTTATTTTTTTACTAGAATTCAAAAATCAATTAATATATAGGGTGTTCCATTACAAAAAAAAATTGATGTGTAACTTTTTTTGGGACACCCTGTAGAACTCTACATAATTTTAGAAAATGCTTTAAATTGACTTACATAAGCTCACAGAAATTCACTTCAATACAAACTTTTATTCTCCTTGCAAAAACCGCGTCGTATATATGACGCGCCACCCGGTATAATTCGATTTCAATAAAAATTTTAATGATTAGATTATAAGCAGAATAGATATAGCTTATGCATTAGATTTATTTATTTCAATAAATTTACTTAGAAAAATAATTAAAAAATCAAAAAATTAAGAAGGAAATAATTAAGAATTTACTAAAACTGCTAAAATAGAAAATTAAAAGCAACGAAAAAAAATGGGTAAACATTTTAGTATTTTATCTATAAAACACAATACAAAAGGTTTTACATTAATACATTCACAGTAATTGAATTCCGAGGTAAATGTCTCTGGGCACTCCACTATTAGAGAATTTGAACTATTTTAATGTGAAATTATAATGTCTTTGTTTTATTGATCGTGTTTGACATAATAGTATGATAAGAGGCAGTTTTAGAAATATACTGACAATATAACAAACGATAACAACAATCTTAGAAATATTACAAAAGTAATTAAATAACACTATTAATAAAGTACTCTTTATTTGATGAGCAATTAATTTTTAATGAATCTGACCCCTCTACATAATAAAACTCTGACCTTTGATAAACTAGTGCATAAGCGAACGAGACAGCTGTGCAGATTATTTTTAAGCGAAAATTTAATAAGTCTGTTTAAGTGGTTTATTAACGGTCGCCAGTAGATGTTTAAGAAAAATGATTATTTGACATACCTAGTAAGATTAAGAGAGAAAAGTTTTTTGTTATTGTTTTCTTTTTTAATAATTGATAACGGGTTTTAGGTGATATTAATTTTAAGATGACCGGTAAAAGTAACATTTTATTTGGAATTTGTTGGTTTTTTCAAATAAGTTATTCAAAAAACATCGGTAAGTTAAATGTTAAAAATTTACATTGTGGAGTGCCCAGAGACTTTTACCTCGGAATTCAATTACTGTGAATGTATTACTGTGAAACCTTCTGTATTGTGTTTTATAGATAAAATACACTAAAATGTTTACCCATTTTTTTTTCGTTGCTTTTAATTTTTTATTTTAGTAATTTTAGTAAATTCTTAATTTTTTGATTTTTTTAATTCTTTTTCTAAGTAAATTTATTGAAGTAAATAAATCTAATGCATAAGCTATACCTATTCTGCTTATATTCTAATCATTGAAATTTTGATTGAAATCGAATTACACAGGGTGGCGCGACATATACGACGCGGTTTTTGCAAGGAGAACAAAAGTTTGTATTGAAGTGAAATTTTATGAGCTTATGTAAGTCAATTTAAAATATTTTCTAAAATTATGTAGAGTTCTACAGGGTGTCCCAAAAAAATGTTACACATCAAAGTTATATTTTTCGTAATGGAACACCCTATATATTAATTGATTTTTGGATTCTAGTAAAAAAATAAAGGTTTGTTTCATTAGAAAAGTATATGACTAAAATGTATAGTTTTTGAAATACATTCACCGGACGAAAAATGGGCACCTTAAAACTTTGATGTATTTTAAAATATAATATATTTTGTTTTAATGGGCCGATTTTGATGATTTTTTAAGCAGTATGTAGCCAAATTATTTGACTTTTAAGTATCTTTTTCTAAATTAAAAATGAAACTCCCCATCTGTTAATTATACGAGGGAAAACAAAATGTTGATATTTTGGTGAAAGTTTGAAACACCCTGTGGAGTATGGTAAAACCGCAAGAAATTTAAAAATAATTTTATCATCTAGATACATCCTTTCTCGATGGTATGTTTTTTGGTTCACCTCATTAGCTTTATTTTTGTTGGAAATATTCGCTTTTGAAAAAGGCACTAACATTTTTTCGTAATTTTTACATTAAGACCATGATTTGCTTTTGGACCTAGTCAACCCATCTAGTAAGTTCTGGTCCCAAAATAAAAGATTTGCTTCATTTATAGTCCGTTAGTAAATATGTACGATTCTTAAGTGCAATTCATTATCAATTTGAAAACCTGGCAAACGGCGGTTCCTTAGCGATAAACTTACAATAAGTCAATCGTCTCGATTAGAAGTTCTCATACGAAGGTTCCTAGACGTCTAGATTGACGTCCTCATGGTTGTGTTCATCATTCAAAAACCACTTAGTATACTCTATGGTATTAAGGTATTTTTGAATAGGAATTTTATAGCAAATTCACTGAGCTAAACAAATTAGTTGATTATATATTTGACTCACCCTGTATATCTATAAAAATATTTTTGAAATGTGAACTACCATTAAACACAATACAATGCAAAATATTTTATAAAAAATCGTTCACAGTAAATTAATTCCGAGGTTTGTATCCCATAAGGGCTTAAAGCACTCCGCTACATCGCAGTACAAGATATTTCAACATATCAGGGTAATTCTTAAATAAGTGGAAATATTTTAGGGGTAGTATACCGGGTGCGTCTTAAAAGTGGCTCACCCCTATAACTTTTTTTATTTTTTCTGATAAAAAAAACGAGATTTGGTACCTATGTTAGTATATGACATAAATTAGGATTGATTGGTGTATTCAGTTGTTTTTGGTCACTTCCTGTTTCACCGGAAATGACTACAACTTTTGATTTTTAAATGGCTCCCTCGGTATTTTTTTACTTTATTCGATAGAAAATGACATTCTGAATAGAATGACATATCATATGTCAACTTTTGACATTCTCGCTTAATAAAAAAATGTATTTTAAAATTCAATCTAGAGTGCCATGGCTATGTTAAAAACACAAATTGTTCATCAAGGAGCCTTGGAAAATAGATTTGATCGTTTAATGTTTTTAGTGTCTTGTCCTGGCCAGTTAGAAAATGCCCAAATCGTATTTTTAATTATATTTCAATTTTTTTCAAATGGAACGAGGGTTGTGAGCATATTTGGAAAAAGCATTTTTTTACGAATAATTTGATACCACACACTTGGTATTTCAAGTCAAATTTTCGTTACGAACCGCAAATTATAATTTCAAATAAACTATATGCGAAAATGTCAAAAGTTGACATATAATATGTCATCGAGTATGTCATTCTATTTAGAGTGACATTTTCTATCGAATAAAGTAAAAAAATACAGGGGGTGCTATTTAAAAATCAAAAGTTGTAGTAATTTCCGGTGAAACCGGAAGTGACCGAAAACAATTGAATACGTCAATCAATCCTGATTTATGTCATATACCAATATACCAAATTCCGTTTTTTATCGAAAAAAAATAAAAAAGTTATAGGGGTGAGCCACTTTTGAGACGCACCCGGTATTTCGATTCCATGAACACGATTATAATTTTTTTTCGCATTTTTTAAAATTTTTAGTTAAAAACGATATCTTGATAGTATGACAACACAGGTAGTAGATTAAATTTACAAGAAGTAAAACCCAGAAAAGATCCAGTGGTTCTCAAAATTTAAGCAAATTTTTTTTATGGAGTTCAAAGTAAAATAACTCGGTTATTTTGGACTTATTTGAAAAACGGTAAAGAGAAAATATCTTTCTTTTATCGAGATCTACCAGCCCTGAAAATATTTGCACTTATTTAAGACTCACCCTGTATAAAAAAGTGTATTTTAAAAAAATTCTGGGTTTTTCGCCACTACAAAAAAATCTAAAAAATAAAAAAGTTATTTTTTGTAAACACCACTACGTAGATACAACGGAAACCGGAGACCAATTTGTCAGTGGTATTTTACGAATAAATCAAATTTACCTAACCTAACCGATAAATATAATAGTTGAATAGTTCTTTGAATTTAACTTTTTAAATAGTTTTTTTTCTTTGTTCTTTGTGTTTTTTTTGTATCTTGTAATGGGAGGAAATATACATACCTTTTCAAATGTCAAGCAGTTTATGTCGGTTAGGCCCCCCAAATTGGTTTTATTAGTAAAATACCACCGACAAATTAGCCTCCGTTGGGTCAACGCATGGTGGTGTTTACAAAAAATATGTTTCTTATATTGTAGATTTATTTTCTAGTGGCGAAAAAACCCAGAATTATTTTCAAAAAATGTTTAAATATAAGTTAGAGGACATTTATTGTCCATTTTTTAGAGTTTGCAATAGTTTTTAATAATATGTCTATGATAATACTCAATAAAATAATCAGTTCTTCACAAAATGGCGAAGGAATTAAATGTTGAACTTAAAATGAACGGTATAAAAAACATTAAATAATTTTGGCCATCATTTTGTACATAATTATTATATACTTTTTTAAATTTGTGACCAAAGGTTTTAGATTAATCTTAAAGAATGAAAATATATTAATGTTATTTTATATTATTCGTATTATTTATTATTATTTTTATATTATTTTATATTATTCGGCATAATAATACAATCGGGTTGTCTTTACATGAAGAAAAACTTTTTTATTTTTAACTTTTTGAGAAAAATGCATTCTCCATTAAAGTTTTTGCTTGATTTAAAATGGTTAATACCGTTTATACTTTTCCAAATTTCCATGCCGTTTGAAAGAAAAATAAAAATATATGAAATAGTATATTACATACCAAGGAGAGCAGTGTTTCATTACTGTCCAGAGAATTAACTAAATCTCGAAACAATAATGATAATTTTCCTCCGAGGTTTGTTTACTATTTTATTTACAACCACATCATTAATTAAAAAATAGGGACAGTATTTTATTTTGAAAAAAAAATAAATATGCAAAAATTTGTCGGTTTCTGTTTTGGCATTTCCATATCTATAGTTACCGGTACCGGTGGTTGTTATGGAGCAAACCTTCGGCAGCAAAACAAACAATTAAGTGATAGTTTTGAATTTCTCGTTCGCTTTTTCGAATTTATATAACAGAGAAAGCCAGAATGTTGTCGGAAAGTTCTGATAATGAATACTACTTTAATATTGGTACTCCACCAAAACTTACAGAAGCTGCAAAAAGAGCAGAAGCCAGTTTACTTCCAGAGAAATGTAGGGGGCGATATGAAATAGCATTGAAAGTATACGAAAAATGACGTGTCGGAAGAAATGCTAAGAATATTGCTTCGGAGACTGCCTTAATGGCATATTTTAGCGACATGGCAAGGCAGAGAAAGCCATATACTCTTTGGGCTACGTACAGCATGACAGGAATGCTAGAATTAAGGGAAAAAACTGACATATCAAAATATCACAAACTTGTCGCTTTTTTAAAACGCCAGAATGTAGGTTTTAAGTCAAAGTCTAGCATTTTTACCTTCAACAAATAAATGTATTAAAATCTTCAATTATTATTGTTAATCTTCTTGTTTATTTTTGTTGATGTTAGGATAAGTATTTAATAAAGATACATATTACAAGAATATTTTGCTTAATTAATTGAGGCAAGAAATAAGAAAAACCGAGTGAGGGAAATAGGCGAGGGAAATGGAAGAGGGAAGAAATGTAGATAATTTGACACTTTCAAATTTTTTAAAAGTCAGTAATGTCAGTAGTACATATGTGGTTGTAAATAAATATACAACAAACAAAAAATGTAATATACCAAATACCCTGTGAGTGCGATAAATTTTACATTGGTGAAACATCTAGACCATTAAATGTTAGAATTAAAGGACATAAAGATTATTTAAGAAAGGGAGATTTTCACAAATCTAAGATTTGTCAGCATTCATGGGATACAGGGCACAGAATAAATTTCAATAACGCCAAAATTATAATGAAAGAAGCGATAGCCTGTAAAAGAAAAATAAAAAAGGCTTTTTTAATTCAATCTAATAAAAATAAGTGTATTGCTCATGCATCTGTAGATGTTAGTAATGTATGGCAATCGCTTCTTTGATTTTAAAGAACATAACATAAATAAACATAACATAGGTAAAATTTGAAAATAACCATACAAAAAGTTTGGGCTTTTTGGTTTTACCTTATTAAGTAATTGTTATCAGGTAGGAATTGTTAATTTTGAAACTTAGCTTGATATAAAAAATGTCATTTTAACAGAACGTCAACAGTTTTTGTAGACGTATTTTAAAAAAAACTAAAAGTGTTCTCGAATAGTTGAGTTTAAATATTTTTAAATGTTTTTTTCTTTATTCTTTGTATTTTTTTTGATTGTGACGACGACGGAAAGAGATGAACTTTCCGACACGTTAAGCATTTTTTTTTTTCTTTCCGACACGTTAAGCAAGTTTAACTTAATATAATGTCATTTTAACAGAACGTCAACGGTTTCTTGTAGACGTATCTGTTTTAAAAAGTAAAGTGTTCTCGAATAGTTCAATATAAATATTTTAAATAGTTTTTTTCTCTATTCTTTATATTTTTTTGCTTCCGACGACGTAAAGACAAAACTTTCCGAAACATTAAGCATTTTTCTCTTTGTTAGGCAAATTTTTATAACTGTAACCAAACCAAACACAACTTCTGACAAGCAGCGTCCGTTTAGGTTTAACGCCAGAAGTGTTTACAAAAAATAACTATTTTATTTTGTAGATTTTTCTTGCAGTGCAGTGGCAAAATACCCATAAAGGTTTTTTTTGGATAAATAAATATAGTTACTACCTTTTTTCTATGTCCTAAAAATGAACAGGCTATGGTTTCTATGGAAATGAACAGTTTCTATGGTAGAATCATTTTCTTTTCATTCATTAATAAACGGATGCTATTAATTTGCTTATAACTTTATATTTTTTGCTGTTATAAACCTTTTTTGTATCATTGAACTAAATAAAGTTTCTCCTCTAAGACAATCCGGGGACATACTGTATTTAGTCTAAAAAATAAAATATTTTAAAATTATTAAGCATTGTTCATAGTACTCTGACCTACACATAAAAATCTACCACTTCATAGCTAATTATTTTGTATATTTCTCAGTACATACTGCATATGCTACTGCCGAGGCTACTGCATATTATAATCAAAAAAAAAATAATGTAATAGGTATATAATATACACACATGGCCAAAATTATTACATATATCGTTTAAAAATGTTCGGAAAGGAATTTAAAGAATCTTTTTCTATACATAGCTTTAGCATCTGTAATAAACATTTTTTTGTTAAAATGGATATGGTAAACAATGTTTATCGTTCAGACTCAATATTATTACAAATTCTGGCACATTTCTATTTGTGGTCTCTTGGGTTTCAGAAGAAATTTGACCATTGTTTGGCCTTAAAATGCCTAGAAACATTATTTCACAGTTTAATAGAATCAGAATAGTAACACTGTCTCAACAGGGCAACCGGCAAATTGCAATAGCTGATTGTAGGAGTTAACCAAAACGATGTTACGCGAATATTAAAAAAATTCAGGGAGACAAACGAGATTACAGACCGGCCTGGAAGAGGTAGAAAGAGAGTTACTACTGCTGTGCAAGACCGTCAAATATCCCTAATTGCACGACGTAATCCCCTGCTCTCTAGTACTGCTATTAAAAATGAGTTAGCTCGCCTTGAAGGAGTAAATGTTTCAACAAATGGATTACATTTAAGGAGGCCTCTACGTGTTCCGAAGCTTAGTTTACAGACAAAATTACGCGACTACAATGGGCTGAGGAGATGAGAGCAAATGGACCTAATTGGAATTTCGTCATTTTTAGTGATGAGACAAAAATAGGCCTAGTGTCAGACTCGCGACGAACTTTGGTCTGGAGAGCACTTGGAAGACGAGCACGCTCAACCCCGTGTCCCGTTTCAAGGGGGAAGCATTATGGTATAGGCAGGTATAATGCACGGGGCTCGAACTCTTCTTGTTTTTATTGATCGCACAATGACAGGTGCCTCACATCTTAGAGACGTTTTAGAGCCTATTGTGCGTCCATTTCGAGGGGCAGTGGGGGATGAATTTGTTTACATGGACGATAATGCTCCTCCCCTTCGCACTTTAACGGTTCGCGAATTTTGTGAGGAAGAGGGTATAAGAAAACTGTTGTGGCCACCGATGTCTCCAGATATGAATGTGATCGAGCATGCTTGGGATATGCTAAAACGCCATATTGCCAAAAGGAATGACCCCCCCGTATCTTAAATGAATTGAAAATTGCTGCGCGCGAAACATGGAATTCCTCAACATCTTCTGGACAATATGAGAGAGCATGCCACGTCGTCTCACAGCTTGTATTGAGGCTCGAGGAAGCAATACAGACTATTAGATGTGAGAAATAATTAAAATTGTTTTCAATATTTTCTGTTTAAAATTATTTTTTTTTGTTGATTTTCACACATTATAAAATTATGATAACAGTCTAGTTGCACTTAAATTTTTAATTTTATATTAGTTAGCCGTGTAGTAAGCCAATATGTTCAAAAATATAAAAAGAATCATATTAGGTCCAAAATAAAATAAAAATATCGTTATATGCATTAATTTTGGCCATGTGTGTAGGTCGGAGAATATTATTATTTTGTTAGCTATTCTGTATTTAGTTATATTCTATTAAAGGTATACAATATACAATTATTGCTATCTATATTTATCAATTTGGTCCTGTGACATTGAAATACCCAATCAATTTGAAAAAAATCTGACACTAATTAACAAATATTATTTTGCCTTTTAGAAAACTACTTAATCAATACCAGCAAATGCACTGTACCAGATTTACCACCCTTTTTTACAAACTGGCCTAGTTATATATCATCTCTTCCCATATCCTGCTCGGAATTTGATCCTTTGCCAACATACACAACTGTAAAAAATAATGTAGCTACACTACACGTTAGAGAAGAAGCATTCGCGAACTATTCAACAGAATACAGCCCTACTCGTTGCTGTTATAGTTATGTCTTTAGAAATGGAACGGAAAATCAACCAGATGTCGGAATAAGGTAATGAATGCACGTGATATTATCTGCATCACAAAAACTTTGGTTACAAAGAAATCACAAACAAGTCGTAGTTTACAGTTGGAGGTGTTATAACAGCAAAATGAAACACTGATTCACTACAATACACCAAAATACTTTGCTTTTGCACTGGACACGCCGATCACTAACTAAATAAATAATAAATAAATGCCTTTATTGTGAAAATTTTTTACAATTTGTAGACAAAGGTAAAGTAAACAAACAAACAAACAAAAGAGAATACAAAACATTATAGAAATAACATTGTCAGTCTTATTGTTTAAAATAAACACTTACAAATGTTTACAATGTTAAAGACAAAAAAATAAAAATAAGATTCAAAAATATTTAGTAAGTTTATACCAAATATCAATGACCTCTAGATAAATTTACCTCGATATCATTGGTAAATATAGTTATAGCAAACATTAGACCAGTGTTTACAAGATCAAATTCGATTATGAAAATATAATTCAGTTACGGCGTAGAAAGCCTTGTCTAGTAAATAAGAGTTCAATGGTTTGCGAAATAAAGAAAATGATATTATGGATTTGATTTCAAATGGCAGGTGATTGTGCATTTTTTCCGAGTTGTATAATATTGAACTTTTAACTAACTCTGAGCGTGGGGTAGGTAGATAAAGATCTTGCTCCGCGTTCCTGAGTGGATAAGTGTGAGATGGCCTTTCTTGAGAAGCTGATACATGCTTACGTATTAGGCAAATGGATTCAAATATAAATAAGGAAGGAAGAGTTAATATTTTTATTTTTTTAAAAAAGTCCTGTTAATAAGTTCTGCTGTTTAGTCCCAGTGAATATCGAACAGCTCTCTTCTGGAGCTTGAAAACTCGGTCAAATTGAGTCGCACAACACGTACCCCAGAATGGAAGGGCATATCTGAGGTACGACTCAAAAAGGGCCTAATAAACAGTTCTAGCCACTGACAAGTTAAGTTCCTTAGAAACAGGTCTCAATGCAAAACAGGCAGAGCTTAATTTTTTCGACAAAGCGTCGATATGCATGTCCCATTTCAAAGAATTGTCTACAACAAAAGCCCTAAGAATTTTACAGATTTTACGTCGTCAATGGTGGTGTTGTTAAGTATAAAAGGCTGCAGCGAGTTTTTATACGACAAAGCTTTAGTTTTAGAAATGTTTAGACTCAGGAGGTTCGAATCGCACCAAGATTTAATGGTGATTAAGTCATTTGATATAATCCTATGAAGTGCCGAGACGTTCTTGTTACTCCAAGTGAAGCTAGTGTCATCCGCAAAAAGACATATTTTATGTTATTGATGTTTATGTTAATAAAATGTCGTAAATAAAAAGAAAAAACAAAGTAGGGCCTAGTACTGAGCTTTGTGGTGCTCCAACTATGTTAGCATCATCAGCAGATGACTAAACCAAGATATAGTTGCAATTATTTGTTGATGATACTAACATGGTTAGCGAAACGCACATCCAGTTAAAAGTAAAGTATTTTTTTGTATTGTGGTGAATTAGTGTTTTATTTTTAAGCCGTGTTTGTTAAATTATTTTAATATAATAAATAAAGTTTCAGTAAAAAAATATCAATTTAATTACTACAGCTATAAGGAAGGGTTCTCCAATAAGCAGCAAACTTATTCAAGCATATTCTTATACAGCGTGTCAAAAAATAGTATATCTAATTTTGGTGGGTCAGATTGGATTCTACAGATAAAAATAAAATAAAAAGTTTCTATGAATATATGCCCCAAAATGCTTTCCTACTACTACTAAGAGGCTCTTCCAAGTTGTAGCACCGAATTACAGAATTAAATGTTTAAGTACCATGCTTCTAATCAGTTCTGTTATCAGAACTGAACGTTTTTTTTTTCACTATAATTAGTAGATCTATTTTTTAAACAATTTGGTTGAGGTTGGGTACTTTTTTATTCCTTTGATGCAATCGGTGTGTTCTTCGTTATTAAATTGATGCCAAATATATATTGAGAGTAATAAAAAATGTTATAATGTAGTAATATTGTAGATTTGTTTAAAGGGAGGATGACACGATCAAAATTACTTGGACCAAATATACTTGGATGCTGCCATATAACTGTACTTATAATAATGCTGCGAGCGTCTCACTTGTATACGCTTCTTTTAATTCTATTGACTGTTTTATCAAAGTCGAATTGGAAGGATTTTTAACATCAAAATAACTATGGCTGCCAACTTACTTGGATGCTACGAGGCCTTCCAATTGGACGTTGATAAAAGAGTTGATACTACACAAACAGCGTGACAGTGAGACGCACGCAACAACTATACGTATAAACATAGTATAAGGAAACTAGCTTTGTTCTTTTTCTGCCACTTTATATGACCTTGTCTATAACTAGGCAAAGTATAATCGTGGCACTCGCCATAGTTTCACAGAGATGTATTTAGGAAAATATGAGTTAAAGTAACATAAAAAAATTGATCATCGAGTAAAAATTTCCTTGAAAACAGAATATTCTCAAGTTTTGTGTAAGTAACAATTGAAGGAAAAAAATGCGGAAAAATATACAATGACACATTTTTATCTTATTATGAGGTTTATGGTACGTTATAGCGTTTCCGTAACCGGAGCTGTTTTTCGGAACCGGTAATTTCGGTACCATGCCTCTAAGGACCCGGTATTTCCTGTTTTTTTTTCGGTACTTTCGGTACTAGCAAATTTTTGTTCAATGATGGTGCAGTTCATTAAACAGCAAGCAAGGGATGGTTGTCAAAAGTAAAATAGATAAAAAATTGAGGTTTAAATCTAAATAATATCAAATTATTAAGTAGTAATCAGTGATGAGAAAATTAACCTGAACACAGAAACATGATCACAAATGACTCTCAAAAACAAAATAAAGCACAATTCTTTGAATTATTACTACAACCAATAGCAGCTCACAGTAAGGCACTTACTTTTTGTCAATGCGTCTCTGTGCTGGGACGCAACGCTCGAACCTCGCAGGTCGACGGACGGAACTCAACTGAAACGCTCTGCAATCTGACGATATTTGACAGATTGTAAAAACTGGCAGAAAATATTTGGGAGAGTGCAACTACTCTTTTCCTTCTACTATGGTATAAGTACCGTATGATCGAATAAAAACGGCGTCAGCGATGGCTATGAAATGAAGATCGCTGTCATTTTATATGTAAAATTATATGGAAAATGTCATCGATCGTCATTTCCAAGCCAACTGGACGCCATTTTTTTTCGATCATACGGTATATTCATACGGCAGCATCCGGTTGACTTGGTCCAAGTACACTTGGACCGTGTCAACAAGGCTTTAATATTCTCAATATGATGTTTTAGTGTAACAAACTGTTTAAAATTTCAACAATCAGTAGTATTATTGCACGATACAGTATGGGTATCATGCAGCAACTACATAGAGACAAACATAGGCTACACCAGAGGTTTTCCAATCTTTCCTATATACGCCAACGTACACCAAGTTGTCCGGCCTTACCAATCCTTTGTACAAAAAGGACAAAGACTTCAAGAATCATCCCCTAAAAGACCGACAAGTGTCCTGGTAATTGTCATAGATTCGGTATCGAGGCTGAATTTCATCAGGACCATGCCCAAAACGAGGGAGTATATTTTGAAGAACGGATTCCACGAATTCAAGGGTTATAACAAGATCGATGATAATACTTTTCCTAATGCTATGGCGCTATTGACAGGGATGAATTTAAGAGATTCGTTCAGTATTTGTCAGCCGAGGACACTAGATGGATTAAATAATTGTCAATTTATATGGTGAGTAAGGAATGATTTGTAAATATTAGGGTTATTTTTTTAATTTTGCATCTAACAAAAATACTGTAGTAAATACCTAATATAGTTTTGATTTCAGGACATTCCTTGTATTTTTGTTATTAACTCACCGGCAAAAAAAAGGTCACTAAAAACTAGTCCCAATTTCAAAGTTGGATTTCTCGCGAACCACTCATTAGATTTTGATGATTTTTTTTTAAATTGTAAATTAATTCCTTCTTAACGGATGCTAAACGTAACTATGCTAACTTTTGACACTCTGTAGGGTGTAGCAGTTGTAGTAGCTATTGCTAAATCAAATCACATTGTAGCCTCATCTTTTGTGAGCTTTTTGTTTTTTTAATCACGACATTATCCCTGCTTGTATTGGAGATACGCTGCTTTAAAACGAACGTCTCGGAAAAATGCTTTGCAGGCAAAACCGCGACCAAAGCAATTCACATGTAAACGCGCGAACTCAAGACGTGCTCGACGATGTTTTGGAAGTACATGGGGTCCTGTGGCAGGCCTCCTAGCAAACAAGTTGTTTTCTTTTAGTCTTCGTTGGATTGTTCTCTCACTGACTTGAGTTCTACGCACGGCTTGTAGCAGATGTTGATTCTGAAATGCTGTAATTCTACTATTTCGTAAAGTATTCAGGACAATAAAGCGGTCCTCAATTGCATTTGTCTTCCGTTTTCTTTCGGAACCCACTCGCCTGGTGAAATTTCCCGTTTCCATATACCGATTCCAGGCATCCTGGACTGTTGTTCGAGGTATGCCCAGGGTATCGGACACATAACGTTGACTGCGGCCATCCTCAATTAAAGCTACAATACGACCAACATTCGTCACAGATAAAGGCATTTTTTAATTTGACAACCATTGTTGTCATATTGCAAATACTCATAAATCCGTTTTCGCCTATGTCGTCTTGAACATAAAACTTTCTGCCTGCGAAGCATTTTTCCGAGACATTCGTTTCAAAGCAGCGTATCTCCAATAAAAAGAGAGATAATGTCGTGATTAAAAAAATAAAATGCTCACAAAAGATGAGGCTACAATGTGATTTGATTTAGCAATAGCTACTACAACTGCTACACTCTACAGAGTGTCAAAAGTTCGAGGAAAAAACATCGTCTTATTGTTGTGCCCTGTATATGCTCAAAATAAACTCGGAATAAACATTTCTGACGTAGCATCCGTTAAGAAGGAATTAATTTACAATTAAAAAAAAAATTATCAAAATCTAATGGGTGTTTCGCGAGAAATCCAACTCTGAAATTGGGGCTAGCTTTTAGTGGCCGGTTTTTTAGGCCGGTGAGTGTATTTAAAATAGGCTGAAAATACATTCACCGGCACGAAAAACGGGCACCTTAAAATTTTCATGTATTTTAAAGTTTAATATATTTTGTTCTAGTAGGCCGATTTTGATGATTTTTTCAGCAATTTGTAGTAAATTGAAAATGAAAGTTGCCATCTCAAAACCAAATGTTGATATTTTGGTGAAAGTTTGCAACACCTTGTGGGGTACGTTAACAAAGCAAGGAAATTAAAAATCACTCTATCATCTAGGTGTATCTTTCCTCAATAGTTTGGTTTTTGATTCATCTCAATATCTTTATTTTATTTAGATATTCGCTTTTGAAGAAGACAATAACATTTTTTCGTATCTTTTACATTAAAACAATGCCCTTGCTGGTCCTAGTCAATATACCTAGTCAATATACCTATAAATACCTAGTCAATATACCTATAAATAGTGTTAACGATTTGTGCAATGTCAATGTCTTTGAATTTGAACTGACTTTGACTGATATTATACAGGGTGTCCCAGAAATAAGTGCAAATATTTTAAGGGGTGATAGATCTCGATAAAAAAAACATATTTTCTCTTTATCGTTTTTTAAATAAGTCCAAAATAACGGAGTTATTTTACTTTGAAAATTTCCAAAAAAAATAATTTTTGCTAAAATTTTGAGAACCACTCGATCTTTTCTGGATTTTCTTTCTTGTAAATTTAATCTAATACCAATGTTGCCTTATTATTAAGAAATTATGTTTTTTAACTAAAAACTAAAAAAAATTCAAAACAAATTTCAAAAAATTTCGAATTTTCAAATTTTATTTTTCGCGAAAAAATCTTCATAGGTGTGTTTCTGAGGTTGAATTATACTACCAGTTAAAATATTTGCACTTATTTCTGGGACACCCTGTATTATTGTCTGTTAGGCAGTTAGTCCAGTAGATATGGTTTTAAGTCCAAAAGTTGATCTCTGCCTTGCTCAATTAAGGCTGTATTCCGTTGCAAATCCAGGAGAACCAGACCGGTAAATTACGGCAAAGAGCGGTTCTTGAAAAACATCGATTTGATACGGAAAGGTTTGGTAAAATACTGGAAACATTAAATGTTGACGTTTTCTAAATTTCAATACCTCTATTATAAAATTTATCTTTTATGCATTTTTAATGTACCTATTCTCTGCTTTTACGTTTGCTTCTTCTTTTCAATGGAGTTTAATATTGAAAAGTGCTTTACTAATAAACTGTTAAACTCATTAGGCAGCTCAAGTGAAGATTTGTAGGTCCAATATTAAAACAGATCAATAATAAATAAACAAATCTGATCAATATTTATATTTTTATAGTTTACAAAACATTCACGATTACTTGTCTTGCTTTTCATGTTTTCTTTAAATGTTCCTGACTTTAAGAAAAAATGGCTGCATGATAAGTTTAAAAAATGGTCCTCAAAATTCACTCTATTTAGTTAATTAAATTTATTTACCTTTACTGCCTACCTCTATTGCTTTTGGATGTAAGTACAAAATATTATTACAAATTTTAGAAATTAAATGAGAATTTCACTCGAACTTCCAATATTTGCTTGATTTCTGTCACATAAATGACATTGATTGACAAATAAAACCAGAAAATCCAGCCTTCTTGCACTGGTTAGTTGGGCGAGAGTTATAACCGAATTTTTCAGGGACTGTGTTCCGTAATGAGAAAACTTTCAGGAAATCTATCGAAACGGAACGTAAAACCATAACCTAGGTAAGCAACGGAATACACCCTAAAGCAGCAATAGTCGATACCTCAAAACTTAAAACCATCTCTACTAGAGTAAACGTCCATAAACAATAATAACAGATAATAATATGACTTCTCAATGACAGTGACATAACAAAACAAAAAAAACACCATTTTATAAGTCTGGTGATGAGAATCTAAAATCAATGGTAAAATCGTTACTGTCTTATTCAAAAGCGAATATCTCCAATAAAAATAGAGTTATTGCGATGAATCAAAAACAAACTCTCGAGATAATACGTACCTAGATGACAAAAGGATTTTTAAAACCCTCGCTTTATTAATATATTCCACAGGGTGTTTCAAACTTTCACCAAATTATCAACATTTTATTTTCCCTCGTTTGGCAATTGACAAAAAAAGAAACTTTCATTTTTAATTTAGAAGAATATACTAAAAAGTCAAATAATTTAGCTACAAATTGCTTAAAAAATCATCGAAATCGACCCATTAGAACAAAATATATTAAACTTTAAAATTAATCAAAATTTTAAGGTATATAATTTTTTATTTATTTATTAATATCTCTGGAACTAATAAAAAAAAATTAATAATATCTTATGTAAATCAGAAAGAAAACCGAAAATCCAATAAATAGAAGCCTTCTTTCAATATACAGCATGAAAAAATCATCTCGATATACTCACTTTTTTAAGCCACCCTGTAGAAGTTAAAATATTTTCATGAAATACATTCTAGTACATTACTTTTAAATTCAGTTCTTAATCTTTTTTATTATGAGGAGGATCCAATGACCGTATGATCGAAAAAAAAACAGTGTCCAGTTAGCTTAGAAATAACGTTCGATCATATTTCCCATATAATTTTACAAATGACAGCGATCTTCATTTCAAAGCCATCTCTGACGCCCGTTTTTTTCGATTATGTTGTACCCTTGATTATGTATAAATAGATGTACAATGAGGGCTTAGTACAAGCCCGTCTTCTAGGTGGCGCCTTGCCCGTTCTGAATTTTTGTATTCCCCTACGATTTTCTTTGAGGGGAATCCGTTAAACCCGCCCATCGTTCAAAAATGGAAGGGCGCGAGGTCACATCTATTGGGCCACTTATTAGCACGTTTCACGCATGTTTTACGAAAATAGCTCTATCCTTGTTTGTTTCAACTGTGACAAGAAAAAAGGAAAAAAAGTCATATTCGTTTCTAAATTCGGCAGTTTTGTTTATCTTTCTCGACTTCTGATTTCGTTTCGTTTAGGTTATGTCTTAAAAATAATTATTTATAAGCTTTTGAGTTAAAATATACCTTAATGCATATCTAAATAATTAAAAAAATAAATTTTTTCGTCCCTCACGAAGAAACGAAACAGTATTTTTGAATATTTGGATTACAAACTATTATTTTATGAGTTTTATGTGTTGTGTTTACGTGATGTGTAATGTGTATTTTGTACTTGCTGGATAGTATTTTGAAACATATTTAATTTACAAAAAGCATCTGTATTACAGGTGAGTAAATACTGTTCATATTTATTTCTAAATTCCTATAAATTTGTTTTAAATCACTCTTGGTTTTTAGAGTTTTTATCTTAGAGTTTTACCTCATAGAGAGTCTGAGATAAGTTTAATAATAAACATTAAATTTGATAGATTGATAGATAGATTAAACGATAAAGGCCAGTTGACTTAAAAATTTAAAAAATACTGATTTTATGCTATAAATTATGTTTCATTTCTTACTTTGCTTTTTTGGAACTGTCAGATATATTGTGTATTTTATAATTTTTCTTAATTAATAACGTAAAATATTGTTTATCTACAGTCAACCCTGTGTTTAGATAAAGCTTCATATCAGATTTCCTATTTTATATTTTCACTCAAATTATATTTTTGTAAAATAGGTATGCTTGCATGCAAAAGTAGCGTAAATTTGACAGGGAGGTATTTTTAT